CTGGCAGAGCACTTTGGCACTTCTGTGAGCACAGAGGAGGGAGTCTGGGACACTTCATAGCAGAATGCGGCCTAAAGGAGACGTCTGCGCAGGAAGGGGTGGGCAGGCCCCGCCTCCTCTGCCTCCTGCAGCTCTTTGCCCATGTGGGAGGTTTGAAGATCAACTCTTTCCCTCCCTGAGGAGGATGGCTGGTGTGGACAGTTCTGGGGCTATCGTCCTCTCCAGTTCTTCCCTTTGACCAGAGCCCTTTTCATCCACTCTGATCTCCCTGCCCCCGACCTCGTCCCCCTTGTCCAGGTGCGTCTTTCTCGCGGGCAGCTCAGGCTCTCGGGTGAAGAGTCAGCTGTCCTGGAGAGCGGCCTCTCTCCTTTCAACTTTTGGCTCACTGGGTTTCTTTTTGCTTCTGAGATGTCCAGGTCAGGGGTCTGGCCAAGATGAACTCGTGTCTTTGGAGCCAGACATCCCTCATGGGAGGCTGGAAGCCAATGTCCGGGACGGTTTGCAGCCTCGTCCTGGGCTCTGGTCCGGGCAGGGCGGGTTCCCACTCGCCGGGGACTGGCTGCCTGTTCTGTCATTTAGGGAGCCTCCCAGGCGTCCTTGGAGAGGAGCTGCGTTTCAGCTGCTCTGAGATTCGCTCCCGGCTCTCTGTCAACACTGCCTGGCTTGGAGCAAGTCACTGAAGATTTTCTATGTCAGATTCTCCTTCTCTGAACTGGGATCAAACCTGCCCACGGAGGGCTGGTGAAGAGGAATTTATGGAGTCACGAGGGCACACTTTCCCACCGTGGTTTGCGGAGCTTGCTGTTGTCATGGGCTAGGTTGCTGGCGTCATCTTCACCTTTGCTTTATTTTGAATACTATGCATAAGCTGCATGTTCTGCTGTGGTGCCATCCAGAGAGGAGGAGACCTTAGCGAATGAAATTATTTTCAGCTGTGTCTCTGGGGTGTCCTGAGGGGAAAAAGCAGCAGGCTCCACTTAAGCATTTCCAGGTACAGATGTACTCCTATCTGGCTGGTTTTCGAAAATTTTATGTTTCTGAATACAGATTTACCAGTTCTTTATTCCGGAAAGATAAAGCACAGTCTCAAGAGATGCACGTCATGAAAGCACGACATTGAAAAACGAGACAGGGCGGGTTAGCACAGCCAGCGTCCTCTGCCGCTGTCACAGTCCACACGGAGGGCACAGCTGCTGTGGGGCCCTCACCGGGAACAGAGGAGCAGGGCCACCATCACTGCCTCGGGGCCCCGGGTGGGTGGGATCCACCCAGTGAGTCACAGGCCAGGAACCGAGCGGACCTCTGGAATGTGACATTCTCCAGAGGCTGGTGTGCTCTAGTCTGAGGGTTTTCTGGGGACATCACTCTTTCCGGGAGCTGTTTGTGGAGAAACTGGCTGATCCCCTGAAAAGTTTGTCACACCCACTCTCTCTCCGCCCCCAGGGAGGTGAGCACCTGGCGGGAAGGGGGCGTTGGAAAAGAGAATGCTTATCAGCTGACCCCGTGGGAGGGAAGCCCTGGAAGCAGGACTGAGACCCACTGGGGTGCAACCGATGGGAACAGAAAGGCTGGGGGAGGGAGGCTAAGTCTATGTGGCCAAGATGGGGCAGAGATGCTGGGAGTTCAGTCGATCGAAGGCTCTGTGCCTTTTAGAGCACCATTCCGTCCTGACTGGCCTGGGACCCGGCATCATCAAATCAAGTGCTGCGGGCTGAAGAGACTTCCTTCCACACAGCTGGATGCGAAGCCTCGGCCAGGGTGGTTATTCCAGTGGAACGAACGGGGACAGTCTCCTCCTGTCAGAGGAGTGTTTCCTCTCTGCATTTAAAACAAGGAGTCAGACGTCAGCACTGGTGAGAAAGCATCACCCTAGGACGTGAGGGCCTCCTGTCGTCAGCGCAGGTACTGAGCACCCCGTGGGGCTCCAGCACAGAAAGAAGGGAATGACCCGAGGACGATCTTTCTCCTTACGGTAGGAGTCCCTCACACATTTGGGTCTCAAGTACTGTGAGGTCTTGCTGCTCACCGTTTTCCTGGGGAGAGAGAGAAAATGCAACAATGATGGAGCCCAGGTTCCATACCAGACACAAAAAGAACAGGGATTCAAGGATTCAAGGATTTCTCCTTTTAACACCAGAGATGGCACCCACCACTGGGAGAGTGCAGGATTTGGACAGGTGGTTTCTAGAAGGCCGTCCAGGCGACAGCTGGGGAGGCAGGAAACACGGAGTTCATTCCCAAGAAAGGATAAACCAGACCATTTGCATAAGCTGGAGGCCAAACCCAAAGGAGACTGTTCCTGGACACCTGGGGAATGGAGTCAGGACAGGCCATTTCCTCTCCTTTGAAGAAGAGAGGGAAGAGGAAGCACAGGGTCTCTCCACGCCCCCCCCCCTCCCCCCCACCAGCCGTGGCTGCAGATGGAGAACGGCCAGGGCGACTGAAAGAAGGCAATCGGATCAGTAGTCTGAGACACCGCCCTGCGACTAGCTTTCATCATCGAAGCTCCCCCATCTTTTGGGGGGTGGTGAGGGAGCCATAGTTGTGGCTGCAGTGAAAATGCTGTCTCACCCCTGGGCTCAGACAGTGCCTGGAAGAGGGCGAGCGCTCTATGGCAAATGGGACCTCTGGGTTTCTGACGACAGCAACTTGGGAAAAAGACCGACGTTTCACACGGCAGAGCGGAAAATGCTTTGCGAAGTGTTTGGACGGTCTTGAGAGGTGGCTGAAGTTTCACAAATCCCTCAGACCTATTTCTCCTAAAGAGAAACTCCCATTTCACTCTTATACTTTTATACTTTCCAAAGAGCTTTCCCTTTGCCTCAACACGAGGTTTCAAGGACCAGGTCTTGAAGCGACATCGAAGGCTCCCATCCCCGTTTGACAGAAGCATCTGAGACACGTGGCTTTAATGTCACCTGAAGCACAGGGAACCCGCTCCCTGGAGAGAGAGGGGATGTGGAAAGAAAAAGGAGAGGAGAAGCGGTGAGGGATCGCTATTTTCCACAGCTGACACCCAGTTTCCAGCAGCGTCCACGCTCGTGCACCTTCTGTTACTGGAAGCTATCATTCTAACAGGAACATTAAGCAGATTTAAGAAACGAGCCTGTTCTTCATGTGGATGGCTTCGTATTCTTTGGTACATCGAGCAACTGCTTCTAAGATATGCAGAGACACAAGTCTGCGTAGACCTGCTCCTTTGTGACACCTGGGCATGTAAGGCAGCCTACGAGCCACAGGTGCAATCTTCTGCAAGTCGAGAAGGAGCACCCCCTCCCCGCCACAGAGTGAGCTCACGGGCGGCCAGCTAGGGTGCCCTGCTACGATGCCCCTTTCTGCGGGTGAGGACTAAGTGTAAGCAGCTCAGAGCTCGTGGCAGGCAAATCATGACAAAACAGCCAAGGGAGAAGCTAGGAAGAATCCAGGTCTATCATCAGTGTGACCCAGAAATCTTGGATTCTATTTCAGGATCGGTTTCTGTCTGTGGAATCCAGAAATTATTTCAACCTCTCAGGGCTTCAATTTTCTTCTGAAAGGGAAGGGAGGCAAAAGCTACCACTTGATAATGAAGCTTGGAGCTCTAGCTCCGCATTCTTGGAGCACTGCAATGCAATCTCCAGGAGGCAGGCATTTCTCTTCCACAATGAGTTTTTGGGTCTAGTGTACGGGAGCTAAATGGATTCTGATTCTGTTACCACCACCAGGAAAAGAATACTTAACACTAGAATAAAAATAGAAAACATCCTTTCCAAAATAAGTTTGTGGAAGGAAAGGGATTTGCTAAGTTTTCTCACCAGGGCTTTAAAAATAAATCACTTCGGGAGACACTGGCTCACACTGAACGGCCCCGAAGCTGACCACGGGCCTGGTAGAGAAGCAACGCTACACGCGTCCTCGGACCCACACACGGCCTGGCTGCTCCGGTTTCGGTCCCTTGTGTTTTGCGGGAGGGAGAGAAGGCGTTTGTGTTTGACCAGGTCTCCTTGCTACCTGGTTTCAGCGATGAAGATACAATGAATACTGAAGCTCACAAACTCTCACAATAAAATGAGATACATTTTGATTCTTATAGAAAATTCAGGTCAGTTAGCCTTGTATGATGACCACTATGAAAAGGACATGGTTATAGTCCTATGATTATCTTAAAACAACACATAACTATATTCGTTGGAGCCGACCGTGTTTTTTGGTTCTTCTGTCTCTAAAGCCTTAGTGACCACTTGTCTATTTTTATATCTGAAAAAACCTGGAAGGGTAGTTCTGTAAACGTGCATGTGAACTATGGTATTCACAGACGAGCCGCCTACGAGCCCCGAGGCCCCGCCCCAGGCCACAGTCAGAGGGAACTCTAGCACAGGGCAAGGAGGGGCCCTAAGACTCATCAGTAATAACAGCAACTTTAAGTTCTATTAGCACATAGGGTGGAACTGCTCAAAACCTGGTTTTATTAAGTTTCCTACAAAGTAACAAAGAAGGTGTCAATGTATTTAGCACCTCTGATCTTGTAGGTGCTACGACAGATGCAACCCGAATCGGGTCCCCTTTAAATAAACAAACACAAACTCAAACCAACTCTCAAAAAGAGCCAAAGGCGGGCCTGCCCGGTGGCGCAGCGGTTAAGTACGCAGGTTCCATCCGGGGTTTGCTGGTTTGGGTCCCGGGTGCGGACATGGCACCACGTGGCAAGCCATGCTGAGGTAGGTGTCCCACATATAAAGTAGAGGAAGATGGGCATGGATGTTAGCTCAGGGCCAGTCTTCCTCAGCAAAAAGAGGAGGATTGGTGGCAGATGTTAGCTCAGGGCTAATCTTCCTCAAAAAACAAAAACAAAACAAAACAAAAAGAGCCACACGGATAAGGATCTCAGGGTGTCAAGCAGACGCTGGCAGGAACCCAGGGATGAGAGGAGCAACTGGAGGGTGGGCCATGCCACTAGAGAGTGGTGATTTTGTCTCAAAGGACTCAAGACCCACATGTGAATTCTGCACACAAGTAACTGATTTTTTTTCGATCTGCAAAATTTTATTAAGCAATAGCTGGACAAGTCTTACAACTTCAAATCATCAAGAAAAAAAAATAAGGAGATTAATCCATCTCAATAATAAAGACAAAATAATTTGGACAAACCACATCATTTTGAATGCAAACCATTAACGCCTTCTAGAATACCTCCCGCACAATCTAATACACAAAATACATAAGAGAGGCAAACGAGGGTGAGCTCATTAGAATGCAATCGGGTATCTCAATAAATCTGGCTTGGAAAGTAAAACAAAGCAGGGAGCTGAATTGAAAACAAACAAACCAACAGTGGAGGAAGTGAGGCGCCCAAAGCTGTGTGCGCCATCCCCAGGGTTTGGACAAGATCATGCTGGTGGTCTGGTTTGGTCTGGGACCTGTGCACCTGCATTGCGCACTTAGAGTTTAAAAAAAAAAAAGGAAAAGAAAATGCCAGTAGTAATAAACTCAGAAATCATGTCCAAATTTACAGTACCAAAATAATGCATTTATAAACAAATGCGAAAACAATACCCCTTTGGTAAATAACACAGTGCCTTTTTCAGTCAAACGCATAACCCATGCTTTTCTACAACACAAAAAGAAATTTTTTTTTATCTACAATTAACGAGATCTTAGAACCCTCCCTTCCCCTTTAAAAGAACTTGTAAACAGAAAACATAGGTACAAGTAAAGTTACAAGAAAATTGCACAAAGCCAAAGAAACGAAAACAAAGTAAGCCACAACCCTTCGGATTTCATTGGCCCAGGAGAAGGAAATACACGAACGGTGAAGAGGTTGTACTCGTGTGCTATGACAAAATCCCGGGACCTCAGACAACATTCTTGACACAGTTCGTCTCAACACATTTGTTCACAACCACTGACTTGGCCAAGTGGTGGACGGCCCGTACGGGGACACACGGGCTCCTTTTCAAGGAACCTTTGAACTGGAAAGGCAGTGTAACACCGCAGAGCACACGCGAATTCAAGCCAGCCAGGGCATTCCCTCCTTTGTTCTTTTTTCAACCCACTCTCTCGTCTTCGGGCCAAGGGACGACTTATTTCAGGGCTGTTCTCAAGGGCGTCCACCGAGCGGGGCACACGCACGAGAACACGCACGAGAAGGCTCCTCTGTCTCACCTGCAATCGGTGCTTTTGTGTAATTTTGTAACAATCGCAATTCCAAATGCATTTGTTTCCAGCGGGGAGCCTGCTGGAGACTGCATTTTAAATGCACTGGTTTACACTCAGTAGACACCTTGTTAACACAGGAGAAGTGTTTCTTGACAAGAAGGCAACGTTTGGAAACGTACCTCCCATACCTCCCAAGTTCGTACAGTGGGATGCTGATCCATCACGTTTTGAGCTCTGAGGCTGTGGGAGCCGATGGGAGTTTAGAAAACCGTCTGGGTTGTCTTTTCATTTTACAGATGGACAAATGCAGGCCCAAGGTCACCCTCCAACTCTGCGGCACAGCAGCCCTGGGGTCTCCTGACATTCTGCTATGATTACCAGATGAACGTTTCTGCACGTCCTCATGGGACGCTTGACAAGGCAGCAGTGGCCATGAATGAAAACTACTAACCCGCAAAATTCTGACTTAACCCTGCCATGAGGGTTTTGACACCTTCCTGCTCCTTGCTGCAATTTTTCTTAGGATGTCCATTCGATGGGGATACCACACACACATCTGTGCCTTTGGTTTGATGATGTTAGAGTTAACACAAATTTAAAGCTGGTTTTTATGTTTGTTAATATATCAGTTCCCTCAAAAAGGCATGGATTCTTCACGGGGTTGACTACTGACTGGGTTCATGTTTTTAAATTTAGGGATTCAATGAGGTATCTGAATAGTCCTAAACAGCAATTAATAAACATGAAGGACATAGAATTCTGCTGTTCAAAGTACTGACTTCAGTATTTAATGCATTGAGACTGTCTGAATGAAAACAAGTTTTGAAACAAGGAAGAGCATCACCATGAACTTGCAAGACCCCACACTGCAGCTGCTGCAGACACCTGGCTGGGTGTGACGGGCCATTCCAGAGCATCTGCCCCTTTGGGCCGGAGCAAGGGGAGCTGGGCTGTTGCTCATCCAGAGGTGGACGTGCACGTACGCAAAACACCCCACCCCAGGTCTTCGCCACCAGCAGGGGAAAAGGCCTTTCGGCGAGCAGTTAAGAATTTAGCAAGTCTAGTTAATTCTTTGCTACAAAGACTCACTTTCTCTTCACAAATGTACTTGTAGTTTTTATTCTAACGATTTCCTCCTATATTTGCTTTTATTGAGAAAAGTTCTAAAATGTACCCTTTCGTGGTCTTTAGACCTCAAAGACCAGGCAGAACTCTACACATGGAAACTCCTTACTAATAACGCCTTCCTTTACTGCTCTCCTGCTAATAAGACTCCTCTCGTTTCATATCACCTTTTATTCTTAATTAAAAATAAAGTTTCCAAGAGAAGGGGAAATACTACTTTAGGATATGTTATCTCAAAGAAATCTTCTCCTTTGTTATGATCAAAACCACAAAATGCAAAAACAGAATGACTTCTAAAGGAGTAATCGGAATTTTTTTTCCAACTAGAAAAAGTTACAAATTGTCCAGCGAAAAAACCTTCTATCACATCCTCTTTATTTCTTGCAGCAAAATAGACTGCTACCAAATAAGTCATTACAAACATACCAGTTTTCTAAATAAATACTAAAATGGGCATAACTCACCAGTACATAGTAACAAAATAATTCCTAAGAACACTATTAAAGCAAGATAAATAATTATCTCTTGAACAATAAAACAGGGGAATTGCATTTAAATTATTTTAGAAATAGGCTATAACCATTATTGCACACCTAACAATAAGCAGTGAAACATCGTAATAAACTACAGAAACTCATACAAAAGAATTATACAATTCTGAATACACTGCTAAATTCCTTCTGGCAGAATTTACCCACCAAAGAATCAGGTTCAATATTTTAAAATGGGAAATGGGAAACCGTGGCATTAGCTGGGAGATGTTCTTCACTGTATTTAAAACCTCATCTGTGTTTCTCCGGGTCTGGAGGGAACAGCGAGCGATGCCATCCTGCTCTAGGAAAGGAATGGGCAGTGTCTTTTCTGACTTTTAAACCCAAACAGGGAATTAAAATTACTTTGAAAATACTTTTCTGTAGTATCTTCCACTTGTCTGTTTTCAAACAAAATCCAAATTTAGGACCCCCAAGCTAGCAGACAGCGCTTCTGCCCTAAACACCATCACAGGTGTGAATAACTGAAAAAGACGAACTGGGTCTGTTCTCAGGGCTGAATGCTGCCCGAGGTGTCCCCTGAGGAGGGGGCGGTGGCAGGTGGGAGAAGAGCATCTCGGTGGACTTTTCTTCTTTTGCAATTAAGAAACAGTAGCCAACCCACTACCTTAAGTCCTGTCACTGAACCATGCTCTCCTACTGGTTTATTTCCCCAGTAAACAGTCTGTACGTTTATTAAACAACCTTTTTTGTTTCCTAGAGAAGATTGTGGGACTTTTGTCAAAGAGTTGACTATAACTCTCTCTCTTAATACCCTGGCAAATGCTTAAAATTTTTTGTTACTTTTCTAATTTAGTGGAGAACATTTCTAGTGAATTGAACTTCGATGCAGCCAAGAGAGAAAAGGAGGAGTTCAATCATATCGTCAGCCTTTTTAGAAAGCGTAGAACAGTGTTATCCCACAGGGGAGAGAATGTCCACTGCTGCATCTCCCAGACTAACAACAGAGGGGGAGAGGGGACAAAGGCTGCTTCCCAGCACGTGGGCATCTGGTGACTCGCCATGCCCTAGCCGAGAAAACCACTACCCCACCGACGCCGGGATTTCTCCACTGCTGTCTCCCACCTTGTCCCACAGTCAGTCATACTGAAGGGTCATCGCCGAGCCTACGGAACTGTGACATGCTATAAAACTAGTGGAGTCTTCAATGTAAACATCCTCCGAAGAGGAGCATAGCCCTTGGACTTTCAAGTCATGCTGCGCGGATCGCCCGTGTGTCCGTGTGCGGACTCCTCCCTCCCCCGGCGCCCCTGCCCCTACAGCATCGTGAGCGAGTCCTACTCACACCTGCTAACAGCACCCCGTGAAAAGCCTAGCGTTATTAGTCAAACACAGTGCGTTTGCCAAAATACCCTTCATTAATCAAGTCACCTTCAGGGGAGCAACTTACCATGTGTGAACTACATGTTGGCCCCCCAAAAGAACCTGTACCTTCAGGATTTTTGGTTGTGTCTTTTAAAAAAGGTTTTTGTTTTTATGCTAGTGGTGGTGTTGGAGGAGTAATAAAAGCTAGACGCTGTGGAGAATGACAATCACGCGGACTCCTTAGTCTAAAAGGGCCGCAGGCTGGAAGGCAGTCCGCCTTCCTTCCGAGGGGCCCCTCGTCCCGCAGCCGACACAGGCACACCTGGGCAGACATCAGCACAGCAACTACGTTTCCTAAAAGGTGCTCGCAACCTTTGCTTCCAAACACTACTCTCTCGTACTTTGTTTTTGTTTAAAAAGAAAGGAGAAAGAAAGACAATAAGGACAATAAAAGCCCAAACAAATGGCAATGACTAAAGGTCAGTGGCTGTTCTGGGCCTGACGGACTTTTCCAGTTTTGCTCCTGTCTTCCGGTTCCCAGCCGCTGGCCCCGGGCAGGCGCCTCGAGCATCTCCGATGGGGCGTCTCTGACGAGGCTCCTTCGCCGCTCCTCCTCCCCACGCCGGCCTCTTCACTTCAGGCGCTGAGTCACGTTGGCCAGGGCGACGGCGAAGGCCTGCACAGCGGAGAAGGGGTACTGGAAGTCCAGAATGTACGCATTGCCGTCGATCCTTCCAAACTGCATCACCTGGGGGGCGGGGGGAGCAGAGATATTAAAGGAAAACGAGGTGGGACACAGGCCGGCCAGGTCCGGGCGGCACCTGTTGGAAGCAGACAACGTGGTCTGTGAGACACTTTTGCCAACAAAAGGGACTCTGATCGAGCTTCTCAGTCCAATTATGAGTTTGGTGGAAATAAAGGGATGGGGGAACATGTGAACCAACACGGTGGGAGACAGCGAGCAGACTCCGGAGCATGGAGAGCTCCACAGGTCAAATGGAGAGCCCTCTTCAAGAAAACAGAAAGCGGGAAGAAAAAGCACAAAGAAGAATCTACAGGCTGAAGAGAAATATCAACTGTAACTGTCAAATGTCACTGCTCAGAGATGGAGAAGATGCCACAGCCTCCTTCCCCAGCCTGCTTCCCTCGTTGTTTCAGTACTTACAGGGAGCAGGTTATACTACAGTGTTATATGACATTATATTGTACATATTTATTGATTGTCTTTCTTCCATTTTTGTAAACTTCATCAGGACAAGGTTTTTTTTTTTGAGGAAGATTAGCGCTGAGCTAACATCCGTGCTCATCTTGCTCTACTTTATATGTGGGATGCCTGCCACAGCATGGCTTGCCAAGCGGTGCGATGTCCGCACCTGGGATCTGAACTGGCGGACCCCAGGCTGCTGAAGCGGAACGTGTGAACTTAACCACTGCGCCACCAGGCCGGCCCAGGACAGGGATTTTTCTCTGTTCTCCTCATTGATCTAATTTCTGCACTTAGAGCAGGGGTTGCCAAAGGCTCTGGAAAGGGCCGAGAATAAATATTCTAGCCTTTGTAGGTCATACAGTCTTTCCCACAACTATTTAATTCTGCTGTTGTAGGGTGAAGGCAGTGTAGACAACACCTAAGTGGATGGGCGGCTGTGTTCCAACAAAACCTTACCTACAAAAAGCGGCAGCAGGACGGGTCGGCCTGTGGGCCTCAGTTTGCCGACTCCTGGCTCAGAGGCTTGCCAGGCAGACAGCAGGTGCTCAATAAATGTTTGTTGAGTGAATTAATGCAAATGAGATTTAAATAGGAGAGGCGAAGGGAATTCCCAGGATGGTGGGGAAGGGCAGTCCCAGAACAACGGCCACGCAGCAGGGTTGGAGCAGGAAGGACTGACAGATTACCCAACGTGTTCGCAACCACAGGGGATCTGCATTCCACCAAGAACTGGCAAACGACTTATTAATAAGTCCACGGAGAAATAAGCAAGCCAACAAAACTAGGCAATTATGTCTGAGGGGAAAAAAAACCCTATACGATAAAAAAGGAAACGTGACCAAACCACACGGCCTGGCTCAGCCGGGCGTCACGGCGTAACGAGGTGCCCGATGACTGCTGACTCAGCTGGGCAGGGGGAGGGAAAGTCAGGGTGTGCAGGCATGGGGTGGGGGTCAAGAAAAGAAACCCTCACGTTCCTCAGGAAGAAGTCAATACATGATGCCAAACACGGGAAAATCAATAAATAGCAGAAACTCCTTCTTTACAAATATGGTGGCAAATACCAGAAAAAAAGGAGACCGCCTTGGAAGCACGTGCCTCTGGGAGGGGCTGGAGGAGGGGGCAGGGGCCTGCTGGTTTTCCTCATGGGTCTTGTAGAATCATCTGACTTTAAAAAGTCAGTACATGTGTTACTCTGATGAGAAACAGATAAAAGCAACGGGCATTTCCACATTTCCCATTGGGCCTTTTGAAAAACGCTCCCCCAGGCCGAAGCACTGATACCCTGCACCCGGTTTTTAAGGACCCCAGGAACCTGTCCAGACGAGAAGGCTGCGCTGTGGCCACGCCCCGGGCCAGGCTCTTACCTGCCGCCCCTCCAGCTCGATCTGGAAGTTCTTGGCTGACTCCTGGGTCACCCGCCCCCCGAAGTCCAGCTGGTACACCTGGGTGGCCTCGTTCCACAGGGGCTGCTTGTTGGCCATGACGTAGACGAAGCCCTGGCTGCCCAGCCGCCCGTCCTCGCGCTCGCTGGCCTTGCGGCACTTGGCCTCCTCCAGCTCGCTGGCCGTGCGCAGGCTGCGCTTGCTCTTCCAGCCCTTCCTGCTGCCCTGGCTCTGGTTCATGAGCTCGTCCCCGCTGATGAACAGCTCGGGCTCGCTCTCCGAGCTGTCCTGGAACTCGTTCGTCTTATTCAACTTCTTCGACTTCAGCTGGTCCTTCTGACTCTTCACTTTCTTCTTCTCCCTCCCCAGGCGGGGGCTGGAGATCAGGGAGTTAAAGTCACTCAGAGTCCGCGCCTCCTTCTTCATCTTGCCCTCTGTGATGGCCTGAACGTTGCCTTCCTCTGCTCGGCTGTCCAGGCGCTTCCGGTTCTTCTTTCCGAATTTCTCCGTCCGCTGGGGGACCGGGCTTTCCGTCAGGGAGAGGACTTCCTGGAAGTTGTCGGCGGTCTCTACCATCACCTCTGTACCCAGGTGGCTCTGGAGGTCGGTGGGCGGTGGGGACACCAAGGGCTTCTCCACCACCAAGTGTGCCTTGGTGGGGAGCGTGCCCTGGGGGTTCTGCACGGGCGGGCACGCGCTGTAGGAATTCCAGGGGTGCAAGGCGATAGGTGGCGGCTGTAAACTCGAGCACGTGCTGCTTCCTGGGTACATGGGGGGCAGGGCGCAGTAGGAGAGGCTGGGCGGGTAGGCGGGCTGCAGGACCACTGCGGACTCCTGTTGTGCAAACTGGGCTGGGGACAGGGCGTCTTTTGGGGAGCAGGGAGCCTGCACTCCCGGCAAAGGGGGCGTGTTATAGCTTCCTGGGTAGGGCACTCCCATCCCATAGCCTGTCTGGAAAGTGGCAGTAGGGCTGGCGGGCGACTTGGGGGAGACGAAGGGCACTCGGGACACGTCCAGGTGCTGGCTCTGAGCTACCATCAGAGGGGACAGTTTCAGAGGGTTGGGCACTGCAGTCTGTGCTGTCCTTTCCTGGGGAACCCAGATGTCTTCCCCGAGCATGGGGTCCCACTGGTAAGGGGGTGGCCGCTTCCCGGCAGCAGCGGCCTCGGGCAGCGCGGGGTGCCTCGGGGGCTTCTCGGAGGGACAGTGCTGGCCCAGCGCCTCGTCCTCGGTGAAAGCCGAGTTGACATAATCGGCGCGCTCGCGGGCGCCGTCGGGCGGGCTCAGTAGGCTGTAGGAGGACTGCGAGGACAGCGGGGACGTGCTGGCCGCGTGCGCCCCCGGCCCGGCCCCCGTGCTCTGCTCGGGCCGCCCGGCCGCGCCCGCGCCGCTGCACTGGCTGCAGGTGTAGAGCGCGGGCGGCGGGCGCGCGGGGAAGGGCGCGGCGCCCTTGGGCTTGGCCGGCAGCTGCGGCGGCGCGCGCGGGGACTCGGCCAGCTGCGCCGCCCGCAGCGCCGCCTCGCGGTTGTTCCTGCGCAGCGTGGCGTGGATGAGGCTGCTCTCCGGCCTCTGCGCCGCCCGGCCCGCGCCCAGCGGGCCCGCGAGGTCGGGATACGGCGGCGGGTCCCCCGGCGGGATGGAGTAGCGCGGCACCGTCAGGCGGTTCAGGGTCGCGCTGGTGCAGGGCTGCGGGACCTTCTTCTCGGTGGCGGTGAGCCTCAGGGTGGCCGAGCTGCCCGGGCCGGGGAGGGTGTAGGTGTTCTGGGAGCAGAGCATCCGCGTCCGGGGCCGGCACACCTCCTCCACGTTGCCGCTGCTGTCGAAGGTGGTGATCCTCTCGTAGCCCAGGGGCGTCTGGTAGTGCGCCGCCGTGGGGTACAGCGAGAAGTCACCCTTCTTCAAGCACACGTCCACCGGGGGCTGCGGGGGCGGCAGCGGGGGCGGGGGCGCTGCCGTGGTGGGGGCGGCGGGGGTGGTTCCTGGGGAGGGGGGGGGGGGGGTCATCTTCGCCGCCTGGACCTCCTGCGGGGCGCTAAACACCACGGCGTCCCCCTCCGCGGCCAGCTGCGGCACAGGCCGCAGGGCCTTGGCTGGCTTCTGCAGGTGCTCGTGGTCTCGGTCTCCGTGGTCCACCACCGACAGCTGGATGGCCCCCTGTGCTGGCGGCGGCAGGGACAGCTGAGGGGGGTTCGGAATGATGCGGCCCATCTCCACGCCTCCGAAGATCACCTGTCCAGGGTTGGAGTAGCGGTTGGAGATTGGGTACTGGGTGGCACTGTCACTGGCGTGCTCAGCTGCCCCCACGGCCGTGGTCTGATTGGTCAGGACGTCCAGCTGCACGTTCTGATTGGCCAGCAGGGACTGCACCAGTCCGATGCTCTGCGTGGGGGACATAGCTTGAGCTGAGCTGTGGATGGGCGCGATGGGGATGTTCACCGTACACGGTGGGTTGTTCTCAGGCACACCAGATGCTCCCGTCACTGGAAGGAGATGGGAAAAACGAACTGCTCACAAAACAGTGCCATGAAACTGGGTCAGAGTAAGCAACACATCTGAATTCATCCAGATCTTCTGCGAATAAAATGCAATTGCTATAGACGGAGATGAGTTTGCTTGGGGAAAGGTTCACGCAAGTTACACAAAGCTTCTGGGATATTTCTGGAAGGGCATACGGGTGATCAGTGGGCTCTGCAGCTAAGGGCATTGTCAGAGCTTTTCAATGAATACTCGTGAACCTTCTGAATGTGGTCATGTGCCTGAATGGTACCATGGCAAATACTTAAATGTTTAAGGATGCTTTTTACGCGTGATAGTCATAAAATGGCCCACTCTTACGAAAGAAGAGGGCAGTGGCACAGTAAGAAACTCCACTGAGGACTCACAATGCCTAGGCTTCTAAGTAGGTTTATGGACTGGTCAGTGTGTAAAATGTTGGGTAGATGCCCATCTGACCCCTGGGGTCCTCCAGGGAGATGTGACTGTCCCCTGCCTGCACAAATCTGGGTCCTCTCTCAAGTTTTCCATGACTCCTGCTCAGATCCCCCTTCCAGATGTTCTCTCCTCGGTATGGGATACTGACGGCAGGCGTCTTGCCCTCTGATGGAGTCTCTTTGTCGCGTCACCAGCAGTTAAGTGTGAGCCCTGAGACAAACCGTCCCCCTCCCCCCCCACTGGGAACCACAGACAGTGACGAGAACAGCAGCAACAGCTGAGCAGAAGCGAGAGCTAGATTAGCCATCTTCTGGGAGCACAGGGAGGGTCTTCAGAGGCAAGCGTGAAAGACACTTCGAAATCTAAGGTTCTGAAATAGCAGGGGACGCGCTATAAAGCTCCAGTGTGTGAGGCTTCGCCAAGTTGCAGGCTTATGTGGTTGTGTCCTCGCCCGCTAGGACTGCGTCTGTCTCCATCTGCTCCACCCAGGGGGAGGGGCATCCCTATCAGAGAACCGAAGATGGCCCCAGTCAGAGAGCACAGTGAAGTGATGTTACAGGCAAAAACCTGGCTGAGAGAGAGTAAGCAATCCCCCCACGTTCAGAGCCCGAGTTGGGATGTGTGTCCCTTCCTGACCCGTGGTGAGGACCAGAGCCCCCCGTTCAAGAAGGACCAGACACAGGAGAAGTCAGTGGCCACGTGGGTCCCTGTGGCTCAGAAAGCAGAGACTTCCAGCACCTGCTTGGTTGGCAGTAGAGGGGTCTCTATATTCATAAAATCGCTGGTGGGCTTTTTTGAGAATAGGTACATACGAATGCTTGGCAGAGTAATTAGAAATCATTCTAATCTATTCATCAAAATAGGACTCCCCCACTAGAAAACATTAAATCAACTTAAGATGCTATACATATCTGAAAATTTGTTAAGCTGGAATTTTGAGAACTTGTACCAGCTTTTACTTCAACTCAGACCTGGCTTCTACGCACCGAGACACGCTCTGCTTGTGGGAGAAGGACGTTCCGCCCTGGAGACGGGGCAGGTTTGAGACACTGGGCTCCGTGCACAGGATCATCGAGAGACGCCCTTCTCTAAGCAGGGGCTGAAAGGATGAGGGCCAGCCCGGGGCAGTGAGACTGGGGTTGAGTTCTGACTTTTTTGAGTCCCGATCGGTCCTGTGAACTTCTCTCTATCCGGGCACATGACTGTGAGGGCTGCTGAGGACACGGCGAGATGCTGGAAGTGCTCTGTGACATGAGCCGTCACGGCCATCTTCCTCGTCCCTGCTCTGGTAGCTTCCTTCCTCCACAGACCAGTGACAGTACATGACCTTTCTCCCGTGACATGCCACCACACCCACCAAGGAAGCTTTACCTTACGGGGAAGGTGCACCTTTTCCAAACTCAGGCAGCAGGCACGGAATGACATGCTGTCGTTCTTGACTACCTACCACTCTGTCCCCTGTCATGACCCACTGAGAGAGGGCTGGTGACAAACCAGCTGATGAGTGAACACACCTGGTAAATCATCCTCATCTTCACTGAAAACATTCGGGTTGAAGACGGGCAAATTAACATAGTCCACGGAAATCTTCCGAACCTCTGGGAGATAGATGGTCATCTGCCGCGGCTGGAGATGCAGGAGGCTGGTTTTATAGATTACTGGTGGAGGAGGAAAGCACAGTCAACACAGACGGCCAGAGGAGCGCCAAGGCGCCAACAGCCGCGGGAGGGAGGCAGGCTGATCCCTGAGGGCAGGGTGGGGACAGAGCAGCTCTCCATCTCCCCCAGTGCCCACCGGCCAAGCCGCCCACGGACTGCATTCCTAACAACAAATTCTCGGTCTAGCCCAGCCACCTTGCCAGCGGCTTGTCTATAGAACCACACATTTCAAATGTTAAAAACCTATCTTAGACTTACGTTCATGTTTGGAATGAGCTGGTGTATGATAAGTATATTTTTTTAAAACCTCATTTGCAATCAGAAGGCTAATTTGGGGAACATAGTTGTGATAACCAGAGTGCCAAGCTCAGGGGGATCTTGGGCAGTCAAGAAGCTGTTGGAAGGCAACAACGAGATCAGTAGGAATAAGATGCTGCTTGGGGCCGGCCTGTGGCCGAGTGGTTAAGTTCACAGGCTCTGCTTCGGCAGCCCGGGTTTTGCTAGTTTGGATCCTGGGCGCGGACATGGCACCTCTCATGAGGCCATGCTGAGGCAGCGTCCCACATGCCACAACTGGAGGGACCCACAGCTAAAAATATGCAGCTATGTGCCAGGGGGCTTTAGGGAGAAAAAGGAAAAATAAAATCTTTAAAAAAAAAAAGAAAAAAGAAAAAAGATGTTGCTTTATTCAGGACTGGATTCTGGTCTTCCTGACTTTCAATTCCACGATCGGGATGGAGAATCCTAGGGAACTTCCACACAGTTTCTTTAAATGCTAAGATTTAACTTGATTGACAGGGGTGTTTAAGGGGAGGCCTAGATTGCAACTAAAATATTTAGAGAAGACAAAATAAGGGAAAAAATAATGAATGTGAATTTAAGTTTCACAGTAGGTTAAAATCAGGATGAAACTGTCCCGTCAATGTTCTTTTATATTTAATACTCTTTCCTGTGAGACATGCAGAGGTTCTTTATTATTCTTTTATTAAGATAAGCAAGTCTGTCTGCACAGCCGTCACCTCGCAGGCTGGTGGCTACTGGCCAGCAGTCCCGAGCGCGGCAGGCCTGCTTTTCTGAAGCACCTTTGTAAGCCGGTGCTTGGAGTGGCATGGGCTGGGATGACGTTTCCAACCCAGGGGTCATGACGGGTCTTATTCACGCTTTCTTCTCTCTTGCCCACAACAGAGAATATGAATTTTGGCTTAAAAATGCTGGATGGTTCCCTATAGCTTAAGAATTAAGGCATCCAAGTTCTGTTCCTTGTTGTTCAGATTGACAAAGAGAAATAAAATTAAAAATCTCAGGAGGGATTTAAAAAATAACATCATTTGCCTCCATGGGAAAAACCGAGGTGGCTGGGGGTGAGGATGAGAGAGATTTTCACTGTATACGCCTTTAAATCTCTTGAATTTTGAACTTATTCCACATTTTTAAAATTAAAAAATGCAAAAAATTGAAAACACAAAAATTTCACGGCCCAAACATTCTAATTGAAGGAAACAAATTATCCAACAAAAAATATCCAACAGCACTCACTTTTTACATCCAGAAGTGTCACAGATTATTTAACAGGCCGCCGTATGTAACAAACCTTCTAGAATGCAACAGTTAATTTCTTCTCTTTAGTAGAATCAAGTGGAAAATTCTTTTAGCTTGACAAATGAATAGTGATAGCTAACCCACCCTTTTTGAAAAGGTCAATGATTAGGACCATGATTTCACCGCAGTCGTCCACAGAGCTTTCGTCTCGGGCGCTGAGATTCCTCATACTGGAGTGCACCTCGAAGGCACTTACAGGCCCGCCATCCCAGGTCCTTGTGGACTTATTTGTGGATCTACGCAACATCCAAGAAGTAACAGCAGGATGATAAGACCCATTAAGTAAGTTCTCACTTCCATTCCTTTCTTCGATGTTTACTGTGGGCCGATGGCTAAGTTCTCAGCTTACGGATGTGGGCATGATCGTGCCTCACATAGCGGTTATCAGAATCACCGCACACATCGGGGGCACTGCTGAGGGACGGAGGAGGAGCTCTGTGGTCATCAGAGGGCTTCCAAGATGTGGGAAACATCATAAGAGATCTCCTTCCATGATGTACAGGGGTCGTCTACAGTTACTTCCTAAGTCAGTTTTATGTTTTACTTTTATCCCTTTTTTCCTTTGAGCTGAGAAGCCTCAAAATGAAAAATCCAAATGCAGCACCATTTAATAAGTCTCTGAAGATGCATAGGATACACAGCAATACATCTTTTTAACGTCAGTGTCACAAGAATTGTTTTAAAGGATCTAACTGTGTCTGAAACAACTCTAACAGCGAGATTCAGAAGTTTTCAAAAACTATTTGTGGTAGGTTACACAGAGCACATTCAAGATGGGGCCACCAGTCACAGGTGACCCCCACGGCTAAGCTGGGCTTCCAGAGAGCTGTGTGCATGTTGGATGTTCAGGCAACCTAGCAAGCCGGGGGCACACAGGTTCTTAGCCCACACACAGATGTGCCCATCAGGATGAAGCTGTTTGAAAAGGACCTTCTGTCATTTCCCTCCTTCACTGTCCCCGAGTAAACATGACAAGTTAGTCCTACTCATTCGGGCGGAGTACAGAAGAGAATTCAAATTCTGGGATCTGCCCAGCTTGGTTCTCCCTGGGTTCCGTTTTCCTCGATGTCTCAAACTTCTCATGGACAAGATATTTATCTGGTACTTAGAAATGAGATCCATAAAGATTTACCATGAAGAACTGTACTAACAGTCAGCCAACTTCTATCTTATAGTCCTGAACGCTTTCTTCGCGACTTTCTTTAGGAATTTTTTTTTTTTTAAAGATTGGCACCTGAGCTCACATCTGGTGCCAATCTTCTTCTTTTTCTTCTTCTTCTTCTTTTCCCCAGAGCCCCCCAGTACATAGTTGTATATTCTAGTTGTGGGTCCTTCTAGTTGTGTCATTGGGATGCTTGCCTCAGCATGGCCTGATGAGCAGTGCCATGTCCACGCCCAGGATCCAAACCGGCGAAACCCTGGGCCGCCAAAGTGGAGCACACAAACTTAAGCACTCGGCCATGGGGCCGGCCCCCACGAATTTCTTTGACTCAAGAACCTAAAGACACTGGTACCAAAATCTGCCCACCGTAAAAGGCCAGAAATCAAAATAACCAGAAACCAATCAGAGTTTTGACAGAGATTTTGGTTATTTCTGTCATTTTTATAAACAGAACTTATATAAAAAAATGAAAGCACCACTGGCAAAAAAAAAACTGATTGCAGCGATAATTCTAATGTTCATGGAATCATAGTGGCTAGAGTCAAACTTTGGAGGTACAAGACATGCTCATCTTTTGGCGTCATAAGAGCTCATTTTCTACTTTAGGCCACCGAAGGCCGGAACTAACTGTTTCAGTCTGAGTTCCAACCAGGGCAGCCGGCAGAGAACATGACGCGGTTTTTACCTGCACCGAGGTTGGTTGGCAGGAAAGCGGCCAAGCCCACAATCTTAAATTTGGTTCCCCAGATGTTAGACGTGACCTGAGCAAGATAGTTGTGCTGTGGAAAAAGAAGGGAAGAAAAATCACAGTCTATTTCCATATTTTCTATTGATCACTTAAGAAGTGAGAATGTTAATACTTTTTGCTTAGAAAGCCACAGGTGGACACTGCCAGAAATACTCATTCTCTAGATCATTCTACCATTTTTAAGACCAGAAGCTGCCTCTGCATGCCAGGCTCCCGTCTGTAAGTGGCGGCTCACCGAGTGATTCTCAGGTTGGAAGTGGGGGAGGATGTGCCCCAGTTTGTCTGCAGGTGTGCAGGTTAAAGGGGCACAAAAGTGACTTGGGCATCTTCCCTTCACCTCTCCTGTCCTCCAGTCACTGAACTGGGGAGGGCACCTGGCTCTGAATCCATTTCCATCCTTGACATTTCTCCTGGAAACAGCACCTGCACTGATACCACTGTGTCCTGAAACTACCCAATTATCCGTTTTCTTATTCAATTAAATTCTTTAAAATTTAAAAATTAGTCACTATGCTCAAACCATGCCTCTGTGTGTGTGTGCATGTATGTAAGGGCAACGATAAAGATGAATAAAATCCAGCTCTTCAAAGAGCTTATAACCTAATGGAGGAGATGAGGCTTGTATTTACACACAGACGTCACTGAGGAGCGTTCTAAGGGCGTTATAAACAAGATGCTCTGGGATTACTGTGGCTGTGCCAGGGAAGGAAGCCTTCACGACAGAGGTGAAGTTCCACGTGGAAGCACGCAGGCAGAAACAAGGGTAGGGGGACGGAGCGAGCGACCAGGCAGGGCAAATCGCAAAGGTGCGAAGAGGTGAGTCAACAGTGCGGCTGTGGCACCTGGAGAGGAGGGGGCGTCCAGGGGGACCAGAGGGAAGGACAGGCCGGGCCAGGCGCTGGGGCTGCGACCAGGGATTGGCTCCTGCGGACACTGGGAGTCAGCGAAGGGGCAGAAGCGGCTTGGGGGAGCAGAGGTGAGAAGTGCAGCTTTGTCTCACCCAGAGCCACCCGTGAGAAGATTCCTGTGGCAACAGGGGGATGCCCGGGAGGGAAGGAGGTTCCTCGGGATGTGGTCGTGACGGGGCCCGAAGGAGGGCAAACGGGCTCTAGTTCTCTACGCCAGGACTGCAACTGCAGTGACAGGCACGGGGTGGGGGGGTAGGAGGGTTCAGCCACCATCATGCTGTGTGACCCACCCGAAAGAGCACACTACCTGAGTGATGTCTTCAAAGGGAAACTCTCTCCGCGTCAGGCTGGGCGAGCCGATGGAGGGCTTGCGCATCGGCAACCGAGGAGACCTGGAGATCTCCTGAGCGGCCCGGGACAGCTTGGGTGACTTCCGAGCCTCAATGTTGATCCTGTGGAGACAAGGCCAGGAGGTCAGGCGCCCACGGTGGGGACAGCACCTGCACTCTCCTTCACCTCCTACCAGTCACCGTGAATATCACACTCCCAGGGGCCAGGTCCCCCAATTTAACCAAGTCCCTCCTGCCTGCTTTTGCCTTATGAACGGGAGGAAAGAAGGACACAATTGTATATCGAGTAATATATACTTAAAAACACAGTGGGCCAGCCCCAGTGGCCTAGTGGTTAAGTTCAGTGTGCTCCCCTTTGGTGGCCAGGGGTTCAGTTCCCAGGTACGGACCTACGCCACTTGTCTGTCAGTGGCCATGTTGTGGTGGCAGCTCACATACAAAAAGAAGAAGATTGGTAGTGGATGTTAGCTCAGGGAAAATCTTCCTCAACAAAGAAAAAACAAAACGAACCCCCAAAACAATAAAACTATAGTGAGATTCAATCAAGCAATTCATTTGTAAAGAACCCCAGAGAATTAACTGTCTTTCACTTTCAACTGACTAATGTAAGTTTAGAATTGTCCACGTGCCTTCTGCCCGGGGTCTTCAAAATCAGCGCTGGGAAAAAGGGCAGTGGGAAGAGTCTTTCTCACCTTAAGGCCACAATGACTTTATAATTGCTAAGCTAATGGTTGGATGTCAACAGACTTACCTAGCATTCCACCACCTGCAATATTTAAATCAAATCAGTAGATCTAAAGTTTTTTGTTGCCTTTTGATCCTATGTTCTATCTCTGGTCCTCAGTTCCTTTGCTTATAACACGGGGACATGTGTTTAAAGCCAGTCGACCCCAAAGAGGGTGTCACACAAATGAATATGGTAAGTTTGATGATTTCCATCAAAGCACTGAGCCTCATAGGTACTGCTTGAGAGCTTGATGAGACATCTAGGGCTCCCAAAGTGTGGGAGGACGGGGGACCCAGCCGGTTACAGCTGTGAGTGAGGACAACTAGCCTGGCTGCTACGTAGGGGGATTCAACACAGGGAAAAATGGAAGGAAGGAGGACCGGACTGCAACACCCAGGAGATTTACAAGGCCATTTACAGTGAAGGACTGCCCCTAGGTGTTAAATGTTCTCTCTCCTTACGTAATGGGAAAAGCCAAAACACTGTAGATGTGTAGGAAAGTTCATAATTTTATTTGCAATTTTAACAAGCCTAGAATGAAGATGAAAAAAATAAATCAATCAGATTGCTGGATATCTGGATATCTATATGGGGAAAAAAATGAACATTTACCCCCAACTCACACTATACACAAAAATTAATCTGAGATCTAACTGTGAAAGCTAAAACTATAAAGCTTCTGGAAGAGAAGAGAAGAATGTCTCATGACCTTAGGGTGGACAAAACCATTTCCTAAACAGGACACGAAAAGCACTAATCATAAAAGAAGAAATTCCTATGTTAGACTACACAGCAATCCACATATCTGCCACAGGACTCTCAGCTAGAATCTATAAAGACTCTTACAACTCTGGAAGAGAAAAACAACAAAAAACGGCAGAAGACTTGAACAGACACTTCACAAAAGAAGATAACCAAATGGCCAATAAACATATAAAAAGCTGCTGAGCATCATCAATCACTGAAGATGTTAGGATTAAACTACCCTGAGATACCACTACACACCCACCAGAATGGATACAATTATTTTAAAAAACTGATAAGACACTGTAGGTGAGGATGGAAGCAGCTGGAACTCTCATATGCTGCTGGTGGGAATTTCAAATGGTACAACAGTCACCTCGGAATGCTGTTTGGCAGTTTCCAATAAAGTTACACACATCTACCCCATGGCCCTACAACTCCCTCCTAAGGATGTACCTGAGATAAACGAGTGCATGCATCCCCAGAAAGGCTTGTAGAAGAGTGTCTACAATGGTTTTGCTCATGATAGCCCCAAACTGGAAACTACCAAATATCCATCATTTGGTAAATGGAATAAACAAATTGTAGCATATTCATTACAATGGAATTCCACAGAGTAAAAAATAAAAACAAACTATTGACACACGCAACAACATGAATGAGTCTCAAAATCATTATGCTGAGCAAAAAGTCAAATAAAAAAAGTACTTATGGTTTGACACCATTTATATGAAGTTTAAGAACAAGCAAAACCAGGATGACAGAAGTTCCAACAGCGATTGGTCTTGGGAGTGGGTATCGGATGGAAGGGGGCACGAGGGAACTTGCCAGGATGATAGAAATGTTCTTCATCTTCAACTAGGTGAATACGCTGGTTCACCAACTGCACATTGCATCACCTGTTTAAGATCTGGACAGGTGCTTATCTGCTCGTAAATGAGACCTTAATTTTGCATAGCGTCACACAATTTTAGAGCTAGAGGGATCTTAGTGAAGACGTGGTCCACCCTTTAACTTCCATAGACAAGGAAACTGGTACCCAGCTCACGGATCCGTCCAAGGTTACGTCCCCACATTACAGAGCCCTCGGTGAGGGGCCAGGACAAGCAAGGCACGGTTTCTTACCTATGACACCGCAGGCCCCTCTAGCTACTCTCAGCTTTTTGCTACTCTTTAGGACAAACCCTTTGGATTGAAAATTTTTTTTAGTTTATTTTCTCCCAATTACAGCATTAGAGGTATTTGATTTGGCATTCTCTTCAATATGCTACATACACTGTAAAACCTTTTTCTTACTTTTCTCAAACTGGAAGAAAAAACAAGTAAGCCAAGAAGCTATGGCCCCCCCACACCGCCCACCATCAGTGCTACCCTAGAAGTTTTGCGGGTTTAGCAAACTTCCTCCCGGGTGCCTTTTTCTGCCCTGAAGGAAAGCTGTAACTACTGCAGGCACATCTTCCACGTGGAAGGCCCAGACTCCCTCTTGCCGTGCTCCTCTGCTGTGCGTTAACGGGATTCTCCCACAGACACACACAGCCACGTCTCCAGAGGCTCAGAGAGGGAGGACGCCCTCCAGGCCGAGGTTACCTTGGGAGTTTGGGTGATTTGCTAGCTCGGGAGATTTTGGGAGATTTCTTGGCAGCCCAGTCGTCACTCAGTTCGATGTCACTGGAGTCTGAGCAGTTGCAGCTGTCGATCATGGTAGAAATCAAGCTGTTTCCATAGATTTCATCTGGTAAGACATCAACCAGCAGATTTTAGGGAAGTGATATCAGACCCGCACGACGACGATGACGAGGAACTAAAGGACAGACGACTCTGCAGGCCAGCATTTGAAGTCTACGGGCTGACCCAGAAAGGAGCCGAGCACTGTTTTCCTTGTATATATTTCCTGTTATATTTTTAATTATTAAGTATATATTATATTATATTGTATATATTTCCTAGTATATATTCTATTATATACTCTAAGCAAAAGTAAGCCATTATTTCTACTGTTATCAACATGGGCACGGGATTTTAATGCTTGTGGATATGATCTAGTCCAGCACTGTTTCCTGCGCCCAAAGCTAGAGCCAAAATGGCCACACTCTTCTGCCTCACGACACACCAGGCATCCATCTAGGCTCACATGGGCAGTGTGGGAATGCAGGCCGGGCAAGGGGCTTGCTGATTCACAGACGCCTCCAGAATCTGCACTGACCTGGGACCCGGGAAGGCCCTTGTTGATTCCAGGCCTGCTCTGGACTAGAACCTGGCAGTCAGGTCCGTTTAAGGGGCTCCCAGAAGTTTATGCCTGGCATGTCAGAACAGTCTCCTGGAACTGCCACAAGGAGGCCTGGGGGGGGGGAGGGTGGCTGGTCCACCCAAGGGAGGTGCCAGCCTGCTTTGAGCAATGGCTGAAAGGGAGACGCACACAGTAGGACTCTCAGTGGGAACTTTGGGTTCTGCTGAGGGTGCCTGCATGGAAGCCACTCCAGACAGCTTTGCCAGTTGGCCATTAAGTGGAAGACGAGAGGCAAAGAGAGGGGCCCATCACAAAAGTGCAGGGTGGACAAAGCCCGTGTCTGACATCCGCCTTGAACTCCCTTCTCCTTTGCCGCCTTCCTCACACCCCCTCACACTCCTTCCCCACCGGGACCCCTCTCTGCCCCACGCGCCGGGTCTTCACGCACTGGAAGTACCCCATTCTTCAAAATCACCTTGTTTTGCTGAGGAAAGCCTCATCCCCTCAAGGCCCCAAGAGCCTTGCCAGGCAATAAAAAAGCTGAATCATTCAATCACAATGAAACAATGTAGAGAATATGAGCAATTTACCACTCAAAAGGGCTGTTTACACTTGAAAGGAGGAGTTTGTAATCCAAACTAATCTTTAGGTTTCTGAACGTGTGGGGGTGGCATCAGTGAACGGGGCCTCTCTTAGGCCACTGGAGGCGGAAAGGACAACTTGGTGTGCCACTTGGGAGGGGGCCGGCTGACATCCAGTCTGAGTTACTGCCTCACCCCCTCTGACACTACTTCCTGAGTCAGAAGGCACGACTGTGAACCCAGCCGGCTAGAGCGGTGTGCATTTGAGTTTGATCAAATAAAAAGGCTGAATTCGCATGCCCCGAGCAGTGCTGTACGTTATTTAATCTACGAGGCCCTGGACCAAAGGAAGCTTGGCCCCGACTGAGAAACGCATGAAAGCCCACAAAACGCATCCCCGTGTTCACGAGCACAGAACCAGTTCACCAGCCTGAGGAAACTCAGCCACGCACTGTCCACTCTACTCCTGACCAACCATTAAGGCCAGGATTTCACAGTTGCTATACGCCACTCTGCTTTTCTCCTTTACTCGTGTCTCAGTCTGTGCGGGCCGCTGTAACAAAATTCCACAGACCAGGCGGCTTGTGAACAACAGAAATTGAGGTCTCACAGTCCAGAGGCTGGACGTCCGGGATCAGGGAGCCAGAAGGGCCGGGTTCTGGTCAAGACCCTATTCGGGGTTGCAGGGGGCTGACTTCTCGCTGTGTCTTCACCTGGCACGAGGGGCTAGGGATCTTTCTGGAGCCTCTTTTATAAGGCACTGAGCTCATGATTATAAAGGCCCCAGCTCATGACCTAATCACCCCCAAAGGGCCACCTCCTAATACCACCACACTGGGCATGAGGATTCAACATACGCACTGGGGATGGGGGGAGCATAAACATTCATAACCACTTTTTTTTGGTGAGGAAGATTGTCCCTGAGCTAACATCTGTGCCAATCTTCCTCTATTTTTTGTATGTGGGACACTGCCACAGCATGGCTTGATGAGTGGTGTGTAGGTCCGCGCCTGGCATCCAAAACTGCAAACTCTGGGCCGGTGAAGCAGAGTGCATGAACTTAACCACTACGCCACTGGGCTGGCCCCCATAACCACTTTTTTACTGTCTACCACCCCAACTAGTGGAAGGAGAGTTGCCTGTCTTGCCTCCTGTTGGAACCCCAGAGACGAGAACAACCCCAAGACTCGATAAAGACTTCCCGAAAGAAAAAGATCTCGCCCTGCCGCCTGCTGCAGCCCCAACCAACTGCAGCAGGATCCCGGGAGTGGGCACGGGTACTGATGACTGTGAAGGCTCCCCGGCGACTCCCATGTGCAGCCAGGGCTGAGAAGCACTCGCCCAGGAGCAGAGGAAGGACTTGCCCACTGAACGCATTTAAAGGGGCGGCGTGAGAGGAAGGCAGTTGCTTTCTGAGCCCCGGTCGAGTCCTGCTCGCTCGGTGGTATGACTGCACACGCGCAGGCGCTGCGCTCTGCCCCCTGCCATCGACACAGCTGCAGGTCCGGGGCAGTGCATCAGATCAACGTGGCGGGAGCCCGGGGGTGGTGGCCACACGGACCTCTTACTTCTAGAGAGTCTGTGTCATCAGTCTCTCATGGGAATTCTGGAAGAAACATCCAAGTTGTGGAAAAATGCGAGTTGGGATCGCTCTTTGAGAACCAAAGCCTTAACTATGACGTCTGGGGCTTCACTCCAATTTTGTCAGTTTTCTAGCACATGCTTCTTTCATCTGGGTTGAATGCCTTTTCAAAATACACAACCTGAATCAGATGTCTTTTTAGAATTTGAAAAAGTCCTCTTTAAGCACAATTTTAATAGCTTTTAAATGTAAGCTCTGTCTCAGTCTGCTTGGACTGCCATAACAAAATGTCATAGACCGGGTGGCGTGAACGACAGAAGTTTATTTCCTCAGTTTGGGAGGCTGGAAGTCCAAGACCAGCATGGCCTGGCTCTGGTGAGGGCCTCTCCCTGACTTGCTGAAGGCCACCTCTCCCTGTGTCCCCACAGGGCCTTTCCTCAGTGTGTGTGTGCAGAGACATCTCTCTTCCTCTTCTTAGAAGGCCACCAGTCCTATGGGATAAGGACCCCACCCTTATAGCCTCATTGAACCTTAATCACCCCTAAAAGCCCTATCTCCAAATACAGCCCCACCCCGGGTCAAAACCTCAACTCATGAACTTGGGGGGAAAGACACAATTCAGTCCGTAGCATCCCACCCCGGTTCCCCCTCATTCATGTCCTTCTCCCATGCAAAATACATTCATTCCGTCCCAACAGCCCCCACAGTCTGAACTCCTTCCAGCATCAACACTAACATCTAAGGTCCAGTCTCTCATCTGAACAGCCTCTCATCAGAGATTCGAGGAACGATTCACACTGAGGTAGAACTCCCTTCCAGCTGTGAGCCTGTGAAACCAGACAAGGTATGTGCTTCCAAACGCAAAACACAGTGGTGGGACAGGCAGAGGACAGACATTTGCGTTCCAAAGGGGAGAAACAGGAAAGGAGGAAAAGGGGACAGTTCCAAGTGAGTCCAAAATCTAGTAAGGCGAATTCTATTAAATCTTAAGCCTCAAGAATAATCCTCTCTGGTTTAATACTATGCCTCCAGGCCCTGTGGGATGGCAGTGTTCCCCCAACAGCTCAAGGTGGGGGTCCCCAGGGCTCTGACGGGCTGAGGTCTTGCCCTCAAGGCTCCAGGCGGAGGCTGCTGGCCAGGTGAAACCGAGGCAGTGGCCCTGCTGACCTGTGAATCACTTTTGGGGTTATTTTTCCCTCTTGAAGAATAGCGCATGTTCCTAGCAGAACAGCTCCACCAGACCGTCCTGTCGAATCCAAGAAGTCCAGCGGCCTGCCATCATGTCGTCCTGAATGGATTTTCCAAATCTCCAACTTCCAGTTCCTTTCTGCTTAACAATTCCTTCCATTTCTCTATCTCCTCCCTTCTCATTTTACTAGAAGCCATCAGGAGGAACTAAGCCACTCCCCCAAAACCGCTTAGAAATCTCTCAGTTAAATATCCCATTTCATTGGCTTGCAAGTTTTATCTTCCACAAAATACCAGAACACAGTTCAGCCAAGTTTTTGCCACTTCATAACAAGGATCACTTTCCTCTCGTTTCCAATAACATGTTCCTCATTTCTGTCTGAAACCTCACCAGATACGGCCCTAACGTCCACATTTCTAACATGAACGTCAAACCTCTTCAGCCCCCAGGGGCCAGCCCCATGGCCAAGTGGTTAAGTCCACGTGCTCTGCTTCCGCAGCCCGGGGTTCACTGGTTCAGATCCTGGGCGTGGACCTACACACCAGTCATCAAGCCATGCTGTGGTGGCGTCCCACATAGCAGAACTAGAATGACTTACAACTGGGACACACAACTATGTACTGGGGATTTGGGGAAGAAAAAAACAAAATGAAACAACTCTTCAGCCTTGACCCATGACCCAGTTCCAAAGCAGTTTCCACATTTTCGTTATTTGTTACAGCAGCTCCCCACTTCTCAGTACTAAAATCTGCATTAGTCGGGGTTCTCCAGAGAAACAGAGCCAACAGGAGACACACACACACAGAAAGAGAAAGAGATTATAAGGAACTGGCTCGTGTGATAATGCAGGCTGAGAAGTCCCAAGGTCAGGGTACCGGCGCGGCTGGGTTCTCGGCCTGCAGATGCTCACCTTCTTGCTGAGTGCTCAGCTCTCATGGCCTTTCCTTGGCGTACATGTGCGTGCGGAGAGAGCAAGCTCTCTCCCTCTTCCTTTTCTTATAAGGCCATCAGTCCTATCAGATCCGGACCCCACCCTTATGGCCTCATTTAACCTTAATTACCCCTTAAAAGCCCTTTCTCCAAATAGTCACATTGGGGGTTAGGGCGTTAACGTGTGAACTGGGGGGGGGGGGGGGGGGGCCCGGCGCACAAAATTCAGTCCAGAGCCAAGTTCCGACAAAAGATTCCTTTGGAAAATTGGTGAATTTTTGCTTAAAAAAAATTATTGGGATTCATGCTAACTATCATGAAAACGCACACTGATAACTCTGAGGAACACATTTGCTAAGTCACCTGGAGATCATTTACAACTGGGGATCACAACCTTCAAAGCGGACAATCCCCTGGGGCCCCCACTAAGTGGCAGATCTCTAGGCCCCGCCCCCAACCTGCCGAACCCATCGAAGGGGCAGGCCTGGGACCCTGGAGTCAAGTAAGCGTCCCAGGTGATCTGCAGGGAGGTGGCCCACGGACACATCCGAGACAATGACGTGGAGAGCTGGCAGCGCCGATGGGCTTCTCACAATGAGAAATCCCTGCTCCTTAAAGTCAGGAATCGTTCCCTCCTCTGAACCATGCAGCTGGCAATTAGTCATGTTCTGCCTCGTGAGACATCTTCTATTTCTGTCTTGAGGCATTTAAATCTTGACTTTTTTATTGAACTTTTCAAGTGTGAAGCTGTCTTATCATCCAAAAGGGATTACGAGCTCCGCGAAGGCAGAGGTGCCCTGGTGTTGCGTCACAGGCACAGGGGACTCGAGGACCGCACACAGCAGGCGCTGAGCACCTGCTGTCGATCTGCTTTGCTTTACAACTTTTTAATTCTTTTAATTCCAAAAATGAGACCTCTCCTTCCCCACAGGACTGCTGGCAATCGAGCCAGCCTGCGTGTGGTGGATGAGCTGATAAATGTGACCATTAAGGAGAAGTGGGCCTGGGACGGTCAGGTCAGGTCCAAGCCAGCCAGGTCCGAGGGAGCTGCAGCCTTGGCCCCACAGCACTCCCACCTGCCGCTTCTGTCCTGTTCTTCGGTGGGACATTGATGCACCGGGGGGTACAGAAGCAAGCTCTCCACGTAAGTTCCCGTCAACATGGATCCGAGCATAGGTTTTATAAAACTGTATACATGGGAGGAACCTTAGAGACGACGACCCCCGATGAGAAGAGGTGATGCGCCCCCGGGCTCAGGGCCTTCCCCACACCCCCTGCCGTCATCTCTAACGGCCACGGCTCTTGCCTTCTCTCTTGCCTTCTCTCTTGCCCTGAAAGCGCAGTTTCCTTCTGAGTTAAGCCGGCTGCTCCCCGGTTTTTCTCACTTTGCCTTCCTGCCCTCGGAGTCTTCCCCCTCCTTCCTTTCCACCTGCCTGCCTACCGGCCTCCGAGTCCTCTCGCTCTCCCTGCTCTTGGTACTAGTTCTGGCACGACTCAAAAGACGCAATAACTCACTGACGTCCAATTTTGTAAAGTACAGCTTTACTCCTTTCAATTTTACGCACTCACACTGACAGCGGGATGTTGCTGGAGATGCCGGGCCTTCCCATAAAGAAAAGCAGACAGAGGTGGACCAAATATGTAAAATACTGAAGCGGGCAAGTGAGGCCAAGGTTGAAAAGGCCCACGGCTTGTGACACTAGGAGAACTGTGGTCGTGCTACATGTCACAGCGGCTTCAGGGACATAACAAGGGGCAGCGGCCAGTCTAATGGGCGGGAAGGTGAGCTGGGAAGTGGAGAGAACAAGTACGAACTACGAAAACGAATCCATTTCAACCCACGTTGTCTCAAGGTCAGGCGCTTGCCAGGCACTGGGGGTGCAAGATGACTCAGTTGCCTCCCTCCAGGCTCTGAGGACTCAGGGACCGTGTGCCCCGCAGGATGCCAGCAGCTGACTGACTGACAGGTGACAGGCACACAGGGTTGCTCACTCTGCTCTGGGTGACAGGCGGAATCTCATAGGCGGTGGTGGAACGTTTGAGCCAGCAGGTACAGCTGAGGGGGCCTCGGGCCTCGACAGTCACTACCACCAAAAGGGTGAAGTCCCTCCCGGGAGCTCACACTCTGGGATCCTGGAGAGAGGTGCACAGCGAGCGCCCTGAATACGTCATGAAGATCGGTACAGGAGGGAGCTCTCAGAAGGAGTGATTCGTCATGCCAAATCTTTATGGACCGGCAAGAATTCTCCTTGGGAATCAGCTAAAAAGCGGCTAACGTGGATTAGTGAGAAGTGAGATTGCAGCAGGAGGCTGAAGGTCTGAAACGTTTTATTCCATCATTTGCACAGGGAGGGCAGTGACGGCACCTCACTGTTATTGTCACTGTCTCAATAGTACCCGAAGGCCCTCAATGAACACCTGATCAATAACTGGAAGAGGAAGCTGTTCCCGGAAGGGCTGTGCCAGCTTCCTCTCCACTGAGAGCCGATGCTTCCTCTATGCACGGCCCCAGCAACACGGAGCCTTACGGAATGCTCTTAAAAACCTGTCAGAAAGTCCACTTAGAGAATCGGGAACTGCAATGGGATTTTGGAAAGGGAGTGGCTTCAAGGACGTTGCACGCTAGCCGACGCAGGCTCCCGTTTCACAGACAGGCACTGTCTTTGTGCGGGTGCTCAGGATCCCCACTCTGCAACCACCCCCGAGCACAAGGTCCACGGTCCTGCGGCGAGGGGCCCACCTGCTTTGCTGTCTGTCCGCGGGTCCATGATGACGAACTCCGGCCGCAGCTTGCTGACGCGCCGCCCCTTGAGGATGGGCACGAGCCCGCCCAGGTACTCCAGGTAGAGCGTGTAGCATGGGCCGCCCACCTCCGGGTCGTCCTCTGTGCGCTTCATGGTGCAGTGCAGACGCTCGTTGCCGGCCGACGGGTAGCTGACAAAGTCGCGCATGTTGTTGGGGTCTGGAATGGGGGGCTGGAGGCAGGACATGGAGAGAAAAGAGTGCGCACGTCACTGATTACCCTGGCAGAGCACTGGCGGGCAGCTCGGGGGCATTAACCACATGGTGCGGAAAAGTGAGTCCCACTCTGGGGGCATCAGAATCTGCTGGGGGCTTTAAAAAATCACTAAGCCAGGATCCTACCCAGACGATCAAAGTGGACTCTCTGGGGGTGGGCCTGGGCATGCGTATTTTCTAAAAATTCCCTGGGTGATTTTAATGAGCAGCCAGGGCTGAGAGTCACTGGTGCTGAACCCAGATTGTAAAGCAACTTGAAAAAAATATCACAGCAGATTCCCAAACTCTGATGTTCTAGGAAAAAAGTAAGCAACAAGTCAATCTGATACTTAGAAGCAGAGACAGAATACAAAAAAGAGAACACAGGGAAGAACCTACAGTGCGGAGGGCCCGAGGTTACAGGGAACTCAGACTCCAACAGCCACTGGCAGGCAGAGTCCACACACTACCTATGACAACAGACCGGTTCTCAAGCTACAGTCAGCACATAGGACGGCTGACCTAAGGGCTGGGTGGGGGTCGCCCCCCTCAGCACAGCGGTGAGGAGAGCAGGCCCCAGGATCGACAGGGTCTCATCCTGACCGTTCCCCTAATGAGCCATGGAGCAAGTCCCTCACTTCTGGGAACACGTCTCCTGCTTTCTCACGTGGGAATAATGGCAGCATCTGCCAGGAAGTCAGGATGGAACAAGACAGACTGATCATCCGGGCAACACACCAGTCAAGCTCAGAATACTGCCTCTGCCATGAGAAAGCTTGTGTCCATCACACAAGGCGAATCTCTCGTGGACACTAACGGTGATGCTGGGGACGGACTGCATGTGTGGGAGACCGTGGCAGAACTCTGCAGAGCCACACACCTTCATCACCCAGACGCACTTGTCAAGGAGCAGACACGCTTCTGTGCTCCTGCCCTGGGATTCTCCAGTCTTCCCTGTCTCTGCCCTCCTCGTGGCGAGCCTTCGGGAACAGGCGGCCAGCAGGGGTGAGGCAGGAGGAGAGGGTGGGTGGAGGGCTTTACCTTGATGGTGGGGATGAAGGCAGTGGAGAGGTACGAGCAGAGGCGGGGGGGCAGCGTCAGCTTGCTGACGTCCTTGTCTTCTCGCAGGGCGCTGGCAATGGCCTGCTGGCACAGCAGCTGCAGGCTGGACACCCGGTGCTCCACACGGACCACGTACAGGGCCGGCCCTGACGCCATCAGCAGCCGCGAGTCCCGGTGTCCCCAGCAGATGGAGATGATGGGGCGCTGCCAAGAAGCGAAGGGAGACCACGCTTAAGCTTTTGCTCTGGTGGAAAGCAAAGAAGATCACGCACGCTTGCGTCACGCAAAATCAAGTGACCAGATAGTTCCTGAGTATACTGGGTTTAAAAAGCACAATAGAGGATGTTAAATACTATATTGTAAAAATGTAATATTTCCATCGAAAAGTAGTTAGATCTCCAGGCCAGAGCACGAAGCTCTGGAACAGTTTTACAAAGTCCTTTTACATGTATTATCTCATTGAATTCGGTGCCATAAAACCTCACTTAGCTTTCAGGGCGTTTCTGCCAGGAGATGCCATCAGCCTGGGGGACAGCACCCCACACTCCTTACTGAAGCTCGGTATCTGGATCCCCAAGTAACCGGTGGTAGGTCCTCCGATGGCTTGGGGAGGTGGTGAGGAGGAAGACCAGATGGCCCTCCCTTTTGTCCTGCCAGGGAGCATTTCAGAGTCAAACCAACCCCAGATTTGGGGTCACGAGCTGTGTGACCTGGGGACTATGACATAACCCTTGGGAGTCTCCTACCTTCTCATGAGCAAAATGGGAGCTGTGAGGACTAGAGGAGACGAACGACGTCATAGTCCTCTGGGCCCTATCACGGGTTGTAACCTACAGAGGCTAAATCACCGTTCCTCTCAGCCATCCTCGAGCTGGTGGGGCAGAGAAAGAGAGCGGAAAGCTATCCGGAAAGGGGAGAGAGGGAACACCGCTCCCGTGGCGGCCGCCCGAGGGGTCTGTGGCCATCGCTTGCTTTGAGAAGGCAGGCTGAAATCCAAACGTGAAAGTCAGAAACCCATTGTACTGAAAAAAATGCAAAGCTGAGGGGTGCCATCTACGGAAGATGAGCCCAGGAGGAGAGAGGGGGGCAGAGCGGGTGATGGAGAAGCAGCGAGGGAACTTCACTCCGACCCGGACAGATGGAGTGCTCATTTAACGAGGTCTTGAGGGGTTTCAACGATCAGAAGTGAGGATATCAGATCTTTTATATGAATGACAGATAGGAACAGAATATTCGCAACGCTTTAGTGACAAACATCAAGATAAAAGGGACACATGAAGACACTTGATTAAAACAGCCTCCAGGGTCGGCTAATCCTGGTTTCAACTTCAAAACAAAGCGCCAGGCTGAAGGTAACTCAAGTTCCATTTCCATCACAGTGAGGCCGGGCAGCCACAGCCCCCTGGAGGAGGACCATGGGGCCTGGAACTCAAGTCTGGGGGCTTCCAGGGTACTTCCAGGATGGGCCTCCTTACAGGAGGATCCCACACAGAGGGGAGACGCCAGAGAGGGGCCTGTTAATTTAGAGCAAGACATAACCACTGCTGAAGACAGGGCGGACAACACATTAAAAATACACACACAAGTTCTCTGGTATCATCAACCCCATAAGGGCAGGTTAGGACGCAAGTTTTATTCGTACCAAAGTCATGCTTAATCTTAAAGACATATGCTGCCTGCCACCGCTGAGCCTCCTAAGATAATATTTACAGCCTAGAGCTCAAGTCACGAAGGACATTTTCACTTCGTACAATCTGACTGGTTGGAACTGGCTGGAGAAATCCCAGACACTTCTTTCTCCCAGTTTCTCATTACTTTTGAGCCCGTCTATCGGACCTGCCAAGGGTTACTATGTACAAATTCTATATATATTTATTTATCCTCCTGTGTCCGCCCTCCTTCTAGTTCTGTTTTTCATAGTAACTCTCTCTATGTAAAAGTTGATTACAAGTTTGGGGAGGATCTTATATAAAACTGTCATTATGATAAGGACGCATCTCTTACATCTTTGTACAAAGGAACTTAAACCAGTTAAACCGGATAAAAATCCTCTCCGTTACATTTACATATATAATCACTATGCATCATAACAAAAATAACAATTATGTCTTAAAAACTTACCACATTCCAATAGCACCTTAAGTTATCTTGATAAGCACATGCATTATCTCATTTAATGCTCTCAGGTCTACCATATACGTATGATTATTCCCGTTTAACATACAAGGAAACTGAGCTAAGAGAGGCTAAGTAACTTGGTTACAGCCAATAAATAGGAGAGCTGCAATTCTTACCGGCTTCCCCCTCAACCCCACAGCTTACGCTCATCTTACAAGGTGGTGTCTCTCTTAAGTGTCAGTACAGTGATACAAGCACGAAAGAATGTGTCATGTCCCACTAACAAATTTAACTATAATCACAAAGTAACAAACCCAAATTCTCCCCTCAGTTCTCCCCATAAGCCATTTGGTCAAGGCCATTTTACTCAGAAAGAACCCAAGCAACATGTCTGTAGAAAAGGCAAATAGACAAGCAGAGAAACAGCCTGCATAAATAACCAACGGACAATGACCAGAATGATTCATTAGGGCAGAAAAGGATCCAGAGGTCATGTGGGCCCACAAGTGGAGATAAGTAGCCAAGTAGTCCTGGTAGATAAGCATGAAACAGCAGTGGGCAAGGACTGTGCTGCTCCACATCGGGCATCGCATCAATGAGGACAACTTAGAATTCTTGGCAAGAAAGAGTGAAAGGGCTTGAAAGGTGTGAAAACTAGACCCCAGAAGAACAGAGCTGAAATTCGGTAGCCCGGAGAAGCAATGTCTGCAGGGTCTCAACGGCATACTTGTTCTCTGGAGCCAGGGTACCAGGAAACCCCCCTTCATGAGCAGGATGAGGACCCCAACAGGAACGTACAGTTCAGTGATTTGGGGAGCAGCGTTCACTCACTCGCCCAAGTCAGGGACAGTTGATTTAGCTCAGCAAAGCGGGGAAAAGATGCCCATTTAATAAAAATGATTAAATAATTAAACATGATTATGGCACATGCTCCATGTAAGACAATGAAGTAGCAAAATCAATACTGGTACCCTCGCCATAATAAATGCTAAGGCTGTATTAGAAAAATAAGGAAGAATTTACAAATAGTGAGAGTGGACCCTCTGGTCTGAAGATTTTGAGGTCTCACTGATGTGGGGAAATTGATTACTGTAATTACCACCGAGTCTGAGGCCAGGCGGTAGGGCCACGACCTCTCAGCATCCCATAAGTCCCGGAAGGAGGTCCTTTTATGTGGCATCTAACACACACGGTGGGTACAGTTAATAATACTGTACTGTATCCTTGAAAGGTGTTAAGAGAGCAGATCTTGAATGTTCTCACCCCAAAAAAGAAATGGTAATTACGTGACGTGACGGAAGGGGTAGCTGACCTTATGTCACTAATCACACTGCAATATAGAAGCGTTATCACATCCACGTGCTGTACATCTTAAACTTACACAGTGTTCATGTCAATCACATATCAATAAAGCTGGAAATAAGCACATAAATAAGAAAATTAACATACAAAATCCTCTTATACCTTTTTTATACTTTTTAATATGTCATCTTGCTTTTTTAAAGTCTCACTTCTTTTTGGCGCTCATTTCCCTGTGCTGTTTCCTGGTACTCCGGTCTACAGAGCCCTCGCTACAGATGTTCTGCTGTTTCAGAAAGAAGGGGAGTCAAAGTGGAGGAAAGTGCACGTGCCTGCAGACACGGGGCATGGGGCATCTTCATTTCTCAGCCTCACAGTCAGGGATTTCTGTCACTCCGTCCCCTAGGATCTGCCACGCTGGGGGGACACGAGGCCGCCCTGTCTGCCAGCCCACAGCCCTCACCCGCAGCACACCGTCCTCCCCAGGAACTGCTCACCCGCCGGGATCCGCCGCGGTGGAAGAGAAACGCACACATGTTCAACTTCCATAAACCTGGGAACACACAAGCGTGCACACACGCAACTCCCACAGATTAATGTTTTTGTTTGAACAGCTGCCATCTGCTAGGGAAAACCTCAGCTGTAAATCTGTGGACTTCCTCTCTTTCTCAAATTACACAAAATGACTATTTTTGGAACTGATGGCTGGAACCGTGAAGTTGATAACATTCGAATCTTAATTTGCGTAGGGAAGTTCACAGATTTTGCGGGCCTAAATTCAAGGCAAAAGGGCAGGAAAATGAGGTGCATTCTGGGGAGCGTTAGTGGAGCAGAATCCAGTGCTTTGGTCAGTCTGATGGAGCGAGAGCTGTTACTCCGCTGGAGGGGTGCGGGCACTGTTCATGGGGAGGTTAGGCGAGTGGTTAGTGCACAGCCAAGGTGTCCCCAGCGTCTCCCTCTCCGTGTCTGATGCTGAGCCACTGAACAGGAGCGTGGGTGCCTGGCTCTCCTTCTCTCCCTGCTACAGCATCATGGAATGTGCTAACAATGGCCACTTTCAACCCCTTACAGCACATGAAGAAGACACGCTAAATACCCCCACCTTATCTCCTGCTGCCACACAATACATGCCATGCGTCCGTCCGATCATTTATTCATCTACTGAGTTGTCAACCAGTCATTCAGAAAATATCTGTTAAATGTGTCCAATGGGCCAGACACAGGCCAGGTGTCAGGGGACTGGCCCTGAATAAAACAAATTCCCGGCCCTCACAGAGCTGACACGCTGAGGTGGGAGGGGGAGAGGGTCTCTGATGGGGACCACCTGACACGGGGAGGTAGTGAACAGGCTCTGAAGTGAAGAGGACAGGTGGCTGGAGAAGGAGTGAGGGGGTCGCTTCAGGCAGAGGCGGGCAGAGGACGCTGCGCCCCAGAGGAGCCCCAGCCCAGGCCTGACTGAGAGCTTGTTCACTGTTTGAACCCGGAGTGAAAGCGGCCTCCCCGCATCGCTGCTGTGCGCATGGCAGTGAGCTGCACGGAATCCTCGCAACCTTCCAGAGGAAGGAAAAACAGGGTATCCTTCCACACTAAAGAGAAGCTGCTCAAGCAGGATTAGAGTCAACGGACAGCACCAGGGCCCCGGCCAGCCCCGCGGGCCCGAGAGAGGGCAGGCGAGGCTGCCCAGGTGCACGGTTTCCGCTGAAACGCTGGGCTGCGGACTGGAGGCTGCGAAGTCCCCGGAGCCATCCCTGGACTCTGGCCCTCTCTGCAGCTCCCCTAGGAAGGCGGGTCTCTGTCTTGGCGGAAACGTACTTCAGAAGTTTCAGAGCCCCTTGCGGAAGGGGATGTTTAGCGTTTGTGCAAGTGTGTGCGAAGAAGGCAAGCCTTCTAGAACAGTTCACTCTTAAACAGACCAAGGTGGTGGCTTGTCACCATCTAATTGTGCTGGCTGGAGCCATAGACAGTCTTGAATATTAAGGTTCAATGATCTGGCCACCAACCAAGCTGCAGTAACGAAAGCTAGCTCAGGATTCAGTCACCCAAACCTCCGTTTTAAGGGAACACACCCTTCTTGCATTTTGTAAGCAGACGACCCCAGGAAGGATTTTCTCATCTGTTTAACAGCAAACAACGGGAAACGCAACCCGTGGCAGCTTCGTGAGAACAGGTGGAGTCAATCCTCCACAAAAGGAGGCAAAGACATTTTTGCCAAAGGATTCTCCTTCAAGAGCACAGACGTCTATGGCCACAGACGCGCGCTCTGACTTGATTTTCAGTTCCCACACCCATCTTCTTCCTCTTCCTTCTCTCTTCATTTTTTACCCAAATATGTTACAGCAACAACTGAATCTTATAGAATATAAGGTGACTCCTTCCAACATGCCTTGAATGCAAAAAAAAGTTCATAAAGCTAAAACAGAAGAAAAAACCCAACCAACCAACCAAAACCCAGACCCAAACTGCTGAAGCCTGCAACTTCAGTCAGCAGTGCTAACGCTACTGCTTATCAGATATGCAATTACATATAGACAGTCACAGATAACAGCTGACGAAATGAATTACAGAATTTTAAATTACAACAGGTAGGAAGGAAAGGAAAATAAATTAGAGCATATTTCCCTGTACGAGCTTCGGCCACAGGCACTGCTGCTGGGAGTAAATCAGGAGAACCCATTTTAAAGCCTAGGCTGCTGCACATTGGCGTCGGGCAATGGCTTTGTATGCAATAACCTACAACCCAATTAACTCGGAAATAAATTATCCAGTCTAAACAGCATTTAGTTCTTTTCATAAATAGTGCAATAAATTGCCTAACTTCCTTCCTGCTATAAAAATGTCCCTGCCTTTGGACAACTTGAACAGCACAGCACAGATAACATGCGATTTTAGAATCATTACAGACAAGAATTAAGTTGGTGCTACATGTAATTTACATTGTACTCGCTTTTTAATAGCATCATTATTTAATTTTATATTATTGAGGCAATCTTTTCAATGGCTGAAACAGACCCTCGAATGAAAAAAATCAATAATTTATTAAAATGCTAAGACGCTGCACAGATATTTTCCCCCAAAGGAAGCTCGGCCAAGCCCCTCCCTTATCCGTGAGCCCAAGTAGTTTCAATTCTGCACTTATGTTAGTTTCACGAGAAAGTCAAGGAGAACTTTTGCAGTGATTAACGTCATCAAGCCTCTACTACATTCTAGGCACAGTGAAGATCAGGAAAATACAGAAAATGTGGTTTTGACTTCAAGAAAATAAGACAAACAGCAAAATGCACTATATGCCAGAGGTGTTAAGCACCCCAAGGGTTCACAGAGAAGAGGGGTCCCAATCATCGGGCAGATTTACAAAAAGATTTATTAAAAAAAAGGCCGTGACTGTGCTGGCATTGAGGAGGATGGATTTCCCGAAGCTGAGATGGCAGGAAGGACATTCCCTGAAGAGGGAACAGAATGCCAGCAGTAAGGGTGTCCTGAGTCAGACAGAAGAGTGGAGAATGCTGAATGTACAACTTGGAGTATGTTTCAGTACTTTGATTCACAAATATGCTAATAAATATGAAAGCCTTATTAACTCAGAAAGAGCTGAAAATTCCCATCCTCTCCTACTCATCTTTCAGTCAGGCTAGGGAAAGCTAGCATGAGACCTGACTGGGAAGGGCACATAGCTACTGCTTCAAACAATCAACAGAAAGAACTAAAGAAAGCACATGTTGACAAGCATCCATCCATCAGTCCACAGAGCAGATATTTACAGACCACCTGCTATGTTGCAGGCAATGCACTGGCAGGAGGCTCACAAGTATAAACAAGGCAGTCTCTCCCTCAACCCCCAATCCGAGGGACTCCAGGATCTATGTTTCTTGCCCCATTCCTTGGCCTCACGCTAACAGCCTCGACTCTACCCCACTTCAGCTTTCCCCGGTTGGCCTCATCACCTGGAACTACTTCACTTCTAAAACAGGAAGCTGAGTTTCCGATCCAACCACAGCTTCCCAGCCTGTGTTTATCGCTTCTTCTTGAACGTGCCTTGTTATGATTTCACACTTCCCAGTCTCGGGTCACAAAGCATCTACCCACCCAGATTCCAGGACTGCACATTTCAATAACATCCTTAGTAGTTCTCTAAATTCCATTTTTTGTTTTTCTGTTACATTAATCTTCCCAATTCCTAACTTTAGGCAACCTGGACCACTTCTGCCTCTAGGGGTTGTAGAGAAGGCACGGACAGCACTGAGTCCCACTTTAAAAGCACACTATCCAGCTTTGGCAGGGACTTAATTTCAGCTTATTATCTTGAAGGGTTCCTGTATCATATTCCTGTAGACTAGCACTCAGGGCTTGGGGCTCAGTGCCAGCTGCACAGGGCCCCTCAAAACAGGTTTGCTGGATGCTTGAACAAATGAGTGGACAAACAGACTTATTTGCCCATAGAAGATATTACATCATGAAAAGATATCTTTAAATCCTACAACTCAACAGCACAAAAACAAATAACTCAATTAAAAAATGCACAAGAGTCTTGAATAGATATTTCTCCAAAGAAGATATACAAATGGCCAATAAGCACATGAAGAGATGCTCAACATAACCAATCAGCAGGGAAATACAAGTCAAAACCGCAAGGAGATACCATCTCACACCCATTAGAAGGGCTACTATTAAAAAAAAAAAAAAAGAAGGGTTGGTGAGGGTGTAGAGAAGCTGGCATGCTTGTGCACGGTTGGTGGGAATGTAAAAAGGTGCAGCCACCATGGAAAAGAGTATGGCAGTTCTCAAAAAATTAGAAATAGAATTACCATATGATCTAGCAATTCAACTTCTGGGTATTTATCCAAAAGAACTGAAAGCAGCGTCTCAAAGAGATATTTGTGTACCCCTGTCCACAGCAGCATATTCACCTTAGGCAAAAGGTGGAGGGAACCCAAATGTCCATTGAAGGATGAATGGATAAACAAAATGCGGTACATCCACACAATGGCATATTGTTGAGTCTTAAAAAGGAAGGAAATTCTGACACATACTACAATATGGATGAACCTTGAGGACATTATGGTAAGTGAAATAAGCCAGTCACAAAAAGACAAATACTGTATGACTCCGCGTGTATGAGGGGTGTAGAGCAGTCGAATTCACTGAGACCGAAAGGTAGAGAGTTTCAGTTTTACGAGATGAAAAGCTCTGGAGATTGGGTATATCATAACGTAACACACCTAACACTACTCAGCTGGACACTTAAAATGGTTAAGGTGGTAAGTTTTATGTGTATTTTACCGAATGTTAAAAAAAGATATATTTAAATAATTTATGCCTGCATCTAACTATAAATTTCCCCAAATCTGGTGTACCTGCCTCTCTGATGAGCTGCAAAGGTTAGGACAGAGTCCCTTGCTTATTATCAGCCCCATCAAAGGTCAGCTCAGTCCCAGACCCATCTCCACGATCACCCACTAAGCACTTCGTCCTACCCCATGACAGACACAGACCAGAAACAAACTGGTCTAAAGATTTATGGGGAATAAAAACAGACAGAAAGTCTAGACCTGTGCATACTTTCTTAAAGACCTTTAAGCTTTTTTATTTATTGTTTAACAATAATTTAGTCAAAATGTAAAAGTACATTACTAGCATAACAAACATAAAGTCAGAGTGAATAAATGCAGATTCAGCATTTACTTCTGCAAGTTTCCGATTTCTCCTTGAGACTGAGGACACATACCAGCTCGCTCGGCTCACTCACTGTCCACTCATCCGACTGGGGAATGGAATAAAGTATTCTGGCTATAGGGCAGAAACTTCTTTTTCTCTTATTTCTTCTAGTTTATACCCCATAATTCAATTAAAGTCAACAAAAGATTAAAATCTGTCAAAGACAATTATAATGAGCATAACCGACTGATGAACATTTAACAGAGATCAGGGGCCTACAACACAGTGGCGTCACAGTGAGTGCCTGACACACGTCCTTACTTGCACAAGCGTGTCCAGTGTGAAGATGTGCTCCCCTCGAACGTTGTAGAACTTGACCATGGCACTCTTCAGCAGAGGGCCGCTGGGAAGGTCGCCAAGCTGCGTTTGCCGTTCCATACCAGCTACTGCCAGGAGGTCTCCCTGTGTGCACCACTGGGCCACCACCTCTGAAACCCAAAGGAGAAACGGTCACCCTCCCTGAACCTTTCACTTACGTAGTTTAAAACACAGAGCCGCCCAGCAAATACAATGGTGGCTCTTCCCCTTTCTCCCATGAAGACAACAGCTACCCACTTCTCTGAAGACAATAGAGACTCTATTTCAAAACAGGCATTTATTACATGGATGGGGTTGCAGATCCCCTGAAACATAACTAAATGCGTCAAAAACTATACATATGTATGGGGACGGCCTGGTGGCATAGTGGTTAAGTTCGCACCTTCCGCTTTGCTGGCCCGGGGTTCGCAAGTTCGGATCCTGGGTGCAGACATGGCACCGCTTGGCAAGCATGCTGTGGTAGGCGTCCCACATATAAAGTAGAGGAAGATGGGCACGGATGTTAGCTCAGGGCCAGCCTTCCCCAGCAAAAAGAGGAGGACTGGCAGTAGTTACCTCAGGACTAATCTTCCTCAAAAAAAAAAAAACCCAAAAAAACTATACATATGTATGGGGACAGCCTGGTGGCATAGTGGTTAAGTTTGCACGCTCCGCTTTGGCGGCCTAGGGTTCGCAGGTTCAGATCCTGGCCATGGACCTGGCACAGCTCATCCAGCCACACCATGGTGATATCCCACATAAAACAGAGGAAGACTGGCACAGATGTTAGCCCAGCAACAATCTTCCGCAAGCAAAAAGAGGAAGACTAGCATCAGATGTTAGCTCAGGGCCAGTCTTCCTTACAAAACAAACAAACAAACAAACCAAAGCATATATGATAAAGCTGGCATGTTAAATGTCTAACCCAATACCAGCATCTCCATCACGGGACTTGCAGAACTGAGAGATCAGGTAAGATAGAAAAACCTATGACTGTACATCCTAAGTGCATTTCCCACCGCCATGGCCTCCACTCCCAGAGATGACTCAGAGGGTTTACAAATGCTCCAAGTACATCGAGAGCAAAGCCTGAATTCATATCCATTTGATTTCCATGTACCAGTGGGCAAAGTTCAGATAAAGGACATGTCTGCATAGGAAGGCCTTGGCTTTAGTGGACATTTGAATGAGGTGGGGGCTTAGAAAAGAAGGAAAATACTTCTGTTGGGTGCTAGTGTTGTCAGAGAAATTTTCCCACTGGAGGTGGGATGCCCACCTACAAGCCACTCAGTACCTGGAAGAAACGGCTATTAAATGGCGTGTTTAATCCAATATTAGAAATTTACTTATTCTTGCTGGTAAAACAAGCTATTAGTACTAATAAGGTTTATTGCATAGTTTTTCTCCCTCAAGACCCTAAAACGGGATCTGATCCCTGGAATCTGGAACTCAGTAGCCCATTCTGCTGAGAGGCTAGAGTGATTTAAAGGTGGTCCACCACGACAAGGACACATTTCAGAGCCGAGTCTAGAACTCCGCAGCTCCTGAGCTCTGTCACGTCGCACATGATCACAGCACCCTTGTCGTATTCGTCTGTGGTACTGATTCTGATGTTAATTCCAGGGCATTCTTGGGTCACCGGGCAGCAGTTCCTGGGACAAGAGGGCTCTCCAGACCCAGGGAACGAGAGCTTGCTCATCAAGTTAGCCACACACAGAAACCAGAGACAGAGGTGGCAGAAGGCTGAGCGGAAGGAGTTCTAGACAAACACAAAGTGACAAACCTCTATAATCTGAGACAGTGTAAGCATCAATAAGGAGTTTTTTTCCTTTTTCTTATAAAAGGATATAAACAAGGTTAAGTACAAACGAACAAGAATCAAGCAAAATCCTAGTGAATGAGATTTGAAAAAGATGAGGGGGAAAGCGAGAGGACTTGTGCATAAACCAAATGTGCTCTGGGCCTCCCACTGGTGCCGTCGCTCCACGGAACTGCCTTGTAGTGATAACGAAATGGAAATGACCTCTGGATGGCAGCTTTGGAAACACAAGGGAGTCAAAGGGAGCAACTGGCACTGCCGGGTAAAGACAACGGAAGAAAGAAGACGGAGTCTAGCGTTGTTCAGAGGGAAACATCCCTGCAGCGCAGCAGAGACTAAGATGCTCCCGGGCCCCCGGGCTGACCCACTCTGCTGAGCAGATGAGTGAACCCTGCACCGCTGTTTTTGCTATTTGTTTATTTTAAATTTCAATCATTGATTTGAATTCTGTCACACACTGGTTTTCCCAACAGATAAGTGTTCTGTTGTCCCTGCAGGGCTGACCTAGACAGACAATCCATTCAGAGATTGCTGGAAGACTAACACAGTGAACCTGAGCGCTGTCGGCCCAGACGGATACAGATCTCTGTCAGCCAAACCGTGGGAGAAGACGGCCCCATGGACCAAAACCCCTCTGCTCAGAACCCCCTCCTGACCCTCTCAGTGTGCCCAATGACGTGATGAGAAGAAGAAATACTGCAAAGCAAAGAAAAAAAGCCCAGGGGTTTGAATTCTTCTATTTTAAGACAAATCTGGGGTGAAATGAGAAGTCCCCTTGAAAGCTTGCTTTACTGCAAGAGACGCACTGGCTTGGTCACAGAATTTCTGAACATGACTGAATTATTTTTCCTTGACGGGTGGTAGAACACGCAACCCCAAAATATGCCACTTTGGCATAAGGATCATTTTGAGCTGAAGGCAATTGAGGGGAAGCAGACACAAGAAAAGCTCTCTGCCCTCCCCTATTTGCCTAAAAGCAGGACGTACATTTGTAAAGGGGTCCCCTCCCCTCTCTACCAGGAAGGACACAAGTTAACCACTGGAGACAACTCTAGACCCTGGTCAGCCTGGAAGACACCAGAGGAATCCACGCAGCAAACTTTAGAACCAGCCGTATCTTCCATTAGTTCCCCATACATTCACCGTCCCACAGTTTGCTGCCCTGGAAGTTCAAAGTCCTTTTCCTCTGTCTTGTCACTTCTCGACAAATGTATTGTCCTTTGTTTAACATGCTATATAAGCCCAAGTTCTAACCACCCCTTTGGGTTACTTGTCTCTGAGCGCTTCCATGAGTAAGCGCAACGCATGTGTTAACACACTTCTGTTTTTGTCTCCTCGATCTGTTCTTTGTCCATCTAACTCACGGGGCCCCAGTCAGAGAACCTAAGATGGGTAGAGGGAAAACAGTCTTTCCTCCCCTACATGCTCATGAAGGAGTAAAGTTACAACAAAGTCAAACTCCCAAATAAGGCGAACCAATTTACAGTTCAACTTTTGATAGACACGAGTTCCCAAGGCTGGGACACTCAGAAGGCAGAACCTCCTCAGCAAACACCTGCAAAGCAAAATCGCCCCCTCCCGCCACGTGATTCAGCAATGAAGACGAGTCTGACGGGGTGGGGAGGGCTGGTTGCGGGGTCTACGAGCTGTCTGGCATTCCAAGTCCTTTTGCACATGACGTAAATCACAGTGTTGGTGATAAACCAGAGAATACCATGAGCCACCCTTCCGCACTGGAAAAGGTCTCTGAGGGACTTCTTGGAGACAGTGACACAGGAAGACCAGACCTTTCAGTCTACCTTAGGAGACGAGCGACTGGCCTGGCTGGGACAGGACAGATCCCCGCGGATGGAAGAAGTTGCCGCGTGCCATCTTTGACAGCATCCTGGCTACCTCTTTCCAGTATCTACTAACATGTCCCGCAAAGTAGTGGACAAAAATAAATTAAGGGGATGGCCTGGTGGTGTAGTGGTTAAGTTCATGCGCTCTGCACTGGCGGCCCGCGGTTCACAGGTTCAGATCCCGGGTGCAGACCTACACACCACTCATCAAGCCGTGCTATGGCAGTGTCTCACACAAGACAGAGGGAGACTGGCACAGATGTTAGCTCAGCCACAATCTTCCTCAAGCAAAAAGGAAATAAATAAATAATTAATTAAAAAAAAAAAAAACTACTGTTGTTGGTACCCGAGTCCTTAAAATATTCTGAAACCAAGACAGAAAAGGAAACTGCCTCCACGCAGCGCGCAGTGGATGACAGCAGCTCACTTAAACGTCACCCAACCTTCCGAGATTAGGAAGACTCAGTGCAGAAACACCCCCCGTGAAAGGGCGAAAGACTGAGGACGTTCTTACATTAGACCTAGCTTTCTAGTCGGGCAATGACAAGAATGCGAAATCTGCCTGTATTTATCCTTTTAGGATAAATCTCAAGTCAAAACCTTTCACATCTGGGAGGGCTACTTTGGGTCACCTCCCCACGTCACCTTGGATGTGTCCCTAATCCTGTGCTGCACAGCTGGCAGGAAAGTGTTAGAAATGCTGCTCCAACACAGTCTAGTTTGATAGAGAACAAAATAATACATCAGAGGAAGAAAAAAATAAAGTTTCCACAGGCAAGCAAGATGGTAAAAAACTAGACAAATTCACCCCATAAAGAATACAAAGGAACTGAGTGGTAATTACGTTTATGTTATTTTTAGTCCTGATCAGACAGTCGACAGAGATCAAAGTTCAGGACCCCAGAACAGGATGCAAGTTCTGACGAAATTAATACACTTGGTTAAAAGGTTTAAAAATAGAATTTTTGAAGAAGAAAGCAGAGATTGAATTACTAAATATATGGAAGAATTTATGATGACCATCCCTATATTTTAGCTCCACAAATCAGAAAATTCAGAAAAAGAGCTTAGGAAAAGCCCAAAGAATTTAAGTTGATCATCAACACAGAAAAATACTTACTCAGCTCCCACCGGGCCCGTTTGTGGCATAAAGAAGGAATTCCACACAGTTCATGTCCCTCAGGAGTTTACAGGCTAAATAATTCCTTACAATTATAGTTTTGAAACAGCAAAATAGGACGCCCCAAAGAGTGAGTATAACTTGCTTCTAAAAATGCCGTATAATTTTAAAATAGAAATGCCAAGTGTTTAGGGGTACACAGGCAGGTATGATGCGTTCCAGCCAGTCAACAGTTAAGTACAGGACTTAATTCTATATGTCCCTGTGATTCCTGAATAATTCAGACAAGAAGCACACGGCCGTGACGCTCTGGTCTGATGGCCAGTTGTGAACGACGGCAGCGAGCTGAACTGCAGGTTCTGGTTTGCCGCCCTCCCATTCAGATTACAGTGGGTCCCTTTAACACTGAGGGCCAGAGGCAGCCCAGCAATTTCTACACTGCACCACCCAACCCCGAGGAGACAGAACTGTCTCCCCACAGAACTCAATGGGGTCACAACGTCAGTAGCATTCTTGAATTGCAGAATTCAGAACACTCCTGATGCCTAGGGACACGGATTTTCTCTTGACATAACAGTACTTCATAAGGTCTATTGAGAAGGCGTCAGCACCTGACTGCTGGCCTTCACGTCGATGCCGCAGCCCGGCAATTGTGCGTCCTCCACAAGTCCGTCAAGGCAACTTTATTGCACAACTATCAGTTCCGTAAGAAGCCTTGAAATCACAGGGGCGTCTGTGCAAACTGTCTCGCGCACTGCCTGCTGCCTCGGGAATGGCAGGTGCTGCCGTCCAGTACTGTGCAGACTCAGGGTCAGCCAGAGGCAAGCACACTGTACACTGAGAGGGGAGCAATCTTGTCGTAGCGGGAAGAGAGCAGGTGAAGACGAAGACTGACCGTCAGGAAGCCCTCGTCAAGCTAAGCCCAGGTATCGACTCGTCAGATAAGCAGAGGAGCCCTTTATTAACAGACTCCGAGAGGTCACTGCAGAGGCCGGGAATCAGTAAGCACTGGGTGTCCGACACCCAGCCTGGAAGGGGAACGTGCACAGGGCTCGTGTGGGCCTGGGTCACGCGCAGCCTTCTGTACCTTTCAGCCCTGAGCGGATGACAGTAGGAGACAAGTCGTCGTAGCTGTTCATTAAGCTGATGTCTCCCGAGGTGAAGCTGACGGTGAGCAGCGGCTTGATGTTCTGCACCGGGATGGGGTACGCGGCTGGACCGTCTGCGGGAACAAAAGCGCTGAGTGAAAGAGAGGCGATGAGCACGTGACCCAAATCCAGGTCCACAAGGCTGCAATCCTGCAGAAGGCCTTAGAAATCACCTGACGATGCAGACCAGACTCTGCACTGGGATGCTGCCAAAGGAGGCAACACTCTACACCACTCGGGAGCTAGAGAGGGCCATCGGACGGTGCTCAGCAGGGAACCCTGGAATGGGAAGCAGGACAGGGCAGCCAGCCCTGGAGGCACCGAGTGGGGTTCCCTGGACTCTGTTATGTGGTGGTGAGAACATGTGTGAAAAGTTTATTGACCTGCGTGTTAATGGGTTATATGTTTCTAACGATGTGTAAACATAAATTATTTTAACGTCATATAATGTGTGAGGATGGTGGGAAGAGGGATGAAAATGTTTTCTTAACCCTGGTCCAACATACAAAGAAAAGTTACTTTTCAACACTAACTGCTCTTTGATTGAATGTTACAGGAAATGCCACACAGCAGCCACCACGAGTCCTTCTTTTTGACCCAAAGACCCCAAATCTGGAGCGAAGGTTGAGTGTGGACATGGCTCATAAAGAACTTTGCTACATCCACAGGGCACATCAAGAAAACCCTGTTTTGTGAGTTCAAGGAGTACTCATGGATGCTAAGGAAAGAGCCATGATGGACCACATTCTGGATTCTTCCACGTATTGTTTCAAAAGTGAAAGTCAGTCCCTCCCACAGGCCAGGGTGAGTCACGGGTCTTTCCGAGGGCTCATGTCTGCTTCACGCCCACATGGAGCTCGGCTCTGGCAGCCATCCAGAGGGGGCCAGCTGACATTGCTTGCTCGCCCTTGACTCAGCGCCGCCTGCAGAGCATCCCCAGTTATTACTCTCCCTTGCTTACAATGCTATAGGGACCCACCTCTGTGTTCAAATTCCCTAGGCCACCAGGAAAGCCCCTGCTCCACCTGAGAGGCAAGTCCAGGCACCCTCCAAAGTGCCCGCCGCTTCTGGGAAGGGCCCCTGGCTAGAGCAGCAACAGGGACTCAAGTCTACGCTTAGACTTACTCTGGACTTGCTTTATCAACTTGGTCTCTGGATCTCGTTTCTTCCAATAACAAGCAGGGTAAGTGAATCTGCATTCAATCTAGTAAAGTTCCGTTTAAGAGAATGCTGAGTCCAAAGCTGAAAGACACTGACTTTCCTATTGAGGCTGGAGAAATGATCAATGCTTACTCAAGGCTTTGGTCCTACTAAGGAAGGGCATGGGTGCCTCCCAAATGGATTTATGGGTGCTAAGAGCACTCTCCCTCCCAAGACCCGCTGATCCTGAAAAACTACCACTGAGCTGAATTGTGTTCCATGTGTGGCCACCATCCTCTCCTTAAACAAATGAACAAATGAGCATGTACACGTCTCCGGGAAGCATCACACATCATCATGTCCGGGGCGGGAGGGAGAAGACAAAACAAGAGCACCCCAAGTCCCAGTGGAGGCAGATGCTGATGGGAGAAAACGAAAATACTTTCCCTGGACCAGCCCTTCGTAGGATGAACGTGCCCACAGTCACAGGGAAGGGTAGAAATCGTCCCGTGTGTGCCCTTAGTCCAGGCAGGGCACTCAGCAAGCAGTGTGAGCACAGCAGTCCAGGCTGAGGACAGACGTCCTGCAGCAGTGTGACCACGTCTCATCAGGGAGTCATTCCCTTCCACTATTTCACAATACATTTTCCTTTTAAAAAAAGAGGTTGGTGTAGGGGATGGGATGTTGGGGAAGAGCCAGAGCTTGAGTAGGCCAACGCTGAATGCTGACTTTGGTGATGGCCAACACCAACATCAAGGACTTCTGCTTTTGCGGGGAGCAGGGAGAAGGGGTCTCTTACACATTTGAGGGATAGACACACCACAAGAGGTGAAGGGGGCAGGAGTGAGAAATCATCCCCACCAAGAGTCTGAAACAATCTTTCACTACTGGAGCAAATGTGAAAAAATTCAAACGTCAACTGACCTAATCTAACACCACAGTGAGGCTTACGTGGGGCAGGCAGGCTCTTCCGAACTGGGAAAGGGAAGACTTCCGCCCAAAATAAAGAAGGCAGGGACATGGATATCAGCCCGACGTACTCACACAACTACAGCTATGGGCTTTAATAACATCAGGGAGCTGGAACCCCACGTATTAAGTTACAGTAAGAGAACAGCTTATTCCGTCGTCAGTTCTCTTTATTGTCACTGAGCAGCTAAGCCCCACAACACCCCAGGGACACAGGAAGGGTTGGAAGTCTCATTTTACATCTACGGAAACCTAAGCTAATGGAGCTTCATCAACATGCCCAGAGACTCTGAGAAAAGGGACGGCAGAGAGAAGACAGATCGAGACCAGAGATTAGGCCTGTCCTGCCTTGCATCTCAGTTCGAGAACTCTTCTTGGCAAGTTAGGGTCTATGCGTATGGCGGACCTTTCCCATTCTCCTTTGAACGGTTCACTCTCCTTCGATACGATTCTGTCCCCACGGAGCCAGTGAGCTACCTTGGGGTGGGGAGTAGTCGTCTGAGTCGGTGTCGCTCTCGCTGCTGTCCTCCACCAGGAAGGCAGGGTAGTTCCAGGACATGCTGAGGATGCCATCTGACTCGTGCAGCAGGACGTGGGCCAGCATCCTGCCGTGACAGTCCATCACGATCACCTGCCCGTCGGCCGTGCCGAACAGCACCTGCAACCAAGGACCAGCACCCTTGATGGACGGGGAGAAACAGCTGTGGTTTCTAGCAAGTCTCGCCCCCTCGACTTGTTTAGAAGGACAAAACATATTTAGAACCAAAAAAAAAAAGACCAGTTAAGTAACATAGAGGATACACAAAGCATTAAGTAGTAGAAACTTAGCTGGTTATTACTGCAAGAATTTTAATCGTCTAAGACTGAAATGTGAATCATAGCATAATAAATATATTCGTTATGTGGCAGAGACATTTTCAAACAATACTGGAAAAATCCTTGTTTTATTTTTCATGGGTTCTTTTTGTTTGCTGGGTTTTTGTTTTGGTTGGTGGAGGAGAGCTAAGAAGAGGATAATATTCACTAATTTTTTGTGAAAGAAAAAGCAGCAGCAGAGGTTCATTCTTAAGAATTTCTCAAATTTAGAAGAAAAACTTTAGGTGTATGTTTATGTTTGACCAAAGAGAAAATAGCTTTGGTTATGTCAACAGGTCATCTAACCATAATTGGAAAAGAAGATGGCCCTGAAATAGTTTGTCTAATGTTTTATTTCACTGAGAGTAAAAATGGTATTAATGTATTAATTAATAGTCCTACAGTGTATTAATGGTATTAATACATTCATTGAGTGCTTGCATTGAGTGCTTTGTGCCGAGCACTATACTAACAGCTTTACCTCGTTAGCTGTCAAAATAATCCTGGGAGCTGAGTCCCAGGCTCGCTGGCACGGAGCTCAGCTGGGCCCTTGGTGTGCTGAGGGCTCTCCTCAGGAACAGCCTCACTTCACCGCCGAGCACACTCTCGGGAACGTGCTGGGGGTGCAGGCAGGCCCCGGGCCGGAGCTACAGCACAGGCAGGGGCTCAGCCCCCTCCATCAGACTGGCAGAGGAGCAGCCCCCAGCTGTGCGAGGCTTCCCTGACATGAGTGGAGTCACCCAGCTGGATGTCCCTGGGGACGGGGACCTCCCCAGGGAGACGCCATGTTATCTGCTGCATTGTGTGTGGGCTCTGCAGTTTCTGCATCCATTGCCATTAAAAACTTAGAATCTTTTGTGTTTCATGAGATTTGTCTATCCATCAGCAACTCATCGTGAGAACCACACAAACTATTTCCATCTTACAGACGCAGCAACAATTTAAGAGAGGTCAAGTAAGTTGACAAAGCCATTCATTAAGTGGTCAAGCCAGGGTTATTTCACTAGAAAGACCAGGATTTACACACTGAGGTTTTTTATGTCCCTGCCTCTTTTTGCTTGTCAGATTTTGATGTTAAGCTCCTTGGGGGCAGACTGTCCAGAGGTGTACCCCCCAGCACCTAACAGAACTTTGGGCACACAGTGGGCACTCGATATTTACTGTTAAATGGATAAGTTAAAGCCAGTGACAATCAAAAGGAAATTTTAGGACATCAATGCTGATGATTAAGATAGATTAATTCCAAGGGAAAATATACTTCATTTAAGTAGTAATACACTCACAGAATTTACAGAGCTGTTTTAGAATAAATCAATTGTCTATAAATATTCCTTTAAACATGATCTACATTTTAATGACTGAAAACTAAAAAAAGCTAAAGCACTTTTCCTCAGGGCAGTGATGAATCCATGACCGCATGCCACTTACAGGAAAAACAGTGAACACAGTGAAAATCATTTTAGGAAAAATGAAATTTTTGGTGCCAACAGAGGAAATAAACATCCACTGGCAAGTGGACAAAGGCCTTGTGTGACCCAGGCACTGGGATCAAGACACTGGGGCAGCGGGTCAGACCCACGGAAGCCCTTGAGGAGGCAGGCTCCAAATGCGCTCAGTAGGCAGGTTTCAGTACGATAAACATAGAACATGACTTCTTGTGACTTGAACTGAAATGCACAATTTACATATTTCAAAAGAAGATGTGTGGGAACCGCAGCGTAAGGCGAATGGCACGGGTCAGGTCCCCGGGAAGCGAGCTTTTCTTCTATTCTCACCCGCTTGCTCAAGCACGTTTTGAAGAGCAGCCTGTGCCTCGGTGCTAGGTGAAGGGGTTATCATATCACTTACGACTGTTGTTTTCAATAAACAGAGCTCACGAGCAGGAACAGCAAACCATTATTCTCCAGGAGCACTCGGGGTGACCATACATGGATCCCAGACCAGTTCCCTGACACCCCGTTATGGGTTCTCACGTGACCCTACAGTCCTCCATTGGCACAACCATCACGACTCTCCCATCTTTACTGTGGGATTATCTGATCACTGTCTGACTCCCATGCTTGACAGCAAGCTTCTGAGGACATGGACCACGTCTGCTCTGCTCTCTGCCATCTCCCCAGGGCCTAGCATCTTAGACGACATGTGGCAGTTAAGTATTTGTGATGCTTCTGCACTGAAGCATCTTTTGACTAAAACTCCTATTTTTCCATTTTAGAGAAGAACAGGTACCAGACAAGAGCAGACATCTAATTCCTGACTGGTGATTTAGTGAGTTCTCAGTGTTCAACATCACACTGAAACAAAACAGAAGAAAAAATCAGCCCCCAAACTCCCCACCATTAATCAGTTTCGACTCCAGCTCTGTTGGGAAGATAATGCACTATTAAGATTGGAGAGAAGGAAAAGAGCCACGTGAACAGACTAGCTGTCAAGCCATGATGGAGAAGTTACTCCGTTTTAGAACAAGTATGTCACAGATAACTGAAGAACACTGATACAACATGCAATCAGATTTTTAAAAACCTCCTCTGTTACATTCTTTTCATGCTTAATCACTTCCAATGAGATAAAGCTTATGTGAGCCAAGGACTTCAAGAGAACCAGACAGAGAAGTCTAATAAAAATGAACAGACACACGGGTAAAGGCGTCAGTCTCTGCTTCTTCCCTACCCCCGAATGCTCTAGAAAAATGCCTGCCGGCTTCTCCCTCCCGGGCTCTGTCTGCTTTTCCAGGCTTGACCTTATGCACTCTTCTCTCCAGGAGATCACAGTCACGTCCACGGCCCCAAGGACCCCATCACGCTGGCTCCCTGCCCAGGCCTCTCCCCTAAGCTCCAGGCTCACACATCCAACTGCTTACCTGCCACTCACCCCCAGACGTGTCAGAGGCCCTTCAGAGTCAACATGTCCCAGATGAAATGCATGACCTCATCCTTCCCCCGACCAACACACACACAACCGGGCCTTCTTCCAGCAAACAGTGGCTTGTGTTTTATCTACAATGACCTGTACAGCATCTGGTACATAACGGGTGCTCAGACAGAGCATGTGAAGGCTTTTGGGACCCACCACAGAGAAGAGATCTCACTCTAACAGCACTCCAAACTTGGCTGTTTTTGCACGTCCGTCTTTCCCACTGAACCATGAGCTCCTCAAGGGCAGGGCTGTGCCCCCAGGTTCTCCCGCATTCTCGTCATGAGTGGATGCTCGGTGGTTATTAGTAAATGAATTTCTGCCCAAAGCTTTGGCCTTTGCTCAAATTTTCCTACAAATGAAGCAACAACTTCTTTCCTTTCTTCTTTAAACCATAAACCAATGCTCAGTTCCTCCCCTCCAACTGCTCTCCAAAACACGTTCAATTACGGATGACGTAAAGTTCTGTCGCGTATTTTCCCTGCTCTTTTCTCCGTTGGGTTGCAGGCTTCATGTATGAGCAGGGACGACGCTCCCTCTGCAATGCGTACACCAAGAACCAAACAAGCTGGTAGAAACGTGTGGGTCCTCGGGCCACACCAGTCAATGGCTGTCTCTTAGTTCAATTTACTTTCCAGCCTTGAAAACACTCATTGTAGGGCCGTGTTTAACATCGAGGTGATTTTTAAATAATTAAGGTATTCACATACAATCTCTTCATTTCAATGTACTCCATGCTAAACTATTTTTAGATGCAATTATTTTAAAATATAACTTAATTAGTGCCAGTAATTTTAAATGAACCAAGCCATAAACCAAAGGGGGCAGGAAGAGGATATAAAATAATTTCAAATATTTATGTTTTGGAAACAGTGATGATATCTCATTAGTATCTTTATCTTTGGAGACTGGTACTCATCTATATTCTTGAATAAAGATCGTATTAGGAAACTTCAACTACAAAAATACACACTTCTATAAATGTTCACTTCTTTCGTAGTAGAGTTTAACTAGTAGCATTGGAACAAGTTCCAGAAGGAGTTGACTTTCTTCCCATTTATTTGCTTTTGTGATTAAAGCTGGGAGGAGTAGTTAAGAAAGTGATGACAAATTTCTACTAGTAACCTCAGCTCTGTTGGTGGCAAACAGCTAAATGTGCCACTGTGGATAGAGGAACGAAGGGACAAGCTGTGATGTCCCCTTGCTCTTTAGAAGGAAACTTCTGTCCTGAGATGTCACTTGAAGCACAACTTTTTCTTTTTTAAAGATGTCCCTGTTGGGTTTCAGAACACTAGCTTCAAGGCCAGATTTGAATATTTTGCAACTAAAGAAACAGAGTTAATGAAATCAGACAGTTGTAAATGACAGAACTGATTAACAGGATATTTCCTGGTTTACAAGAAACAAAACGAAATGTAATTTCACAGTTGACTATAACAACCATTTCTAAAACAGATATTTTAAGACTTATTCTGACAAATAAGAAAGTAATCTCACCCAGAATACCTACAATACAAAATTTGTATCTTTGGGCTAAATATGTAATTTTGAAGTCACTTCATCTTTTCACTGCAGAAAAGAACACTTATAAACTAACCCAGAAAGATGAGAGACTACCCTATGTTTAAAGATTTTCAGAGAAGGAGATATTCTATGTGTCTCAGGCACTGAATTTCATGTTAAATAATTCCCATTGCTAGAACATTCTTCCCCAAATCTCTCAGGCTCCATTTTAAAGTTCACTCACCCTTCTAAGACACCCACACAGTGATTTCCGGGGGTGGAGGGGAAGAGTCTTGACTACACGCCTAATTAAAAAAACGCATTTAATTAGGACATCTCCAGAAGGCTACACAAGTAACTGGAAACACCAGTGAGCTCTGGGGAAGA